TTTTCGCAGTGGACACATGAGTAAACCTTATAATCCATATTATTTAAAGTAATAAGATCTTGAGATTGAAACTCTTCAGAATCTTTATACTCCTTGTTTAATTTTCCAGATATAACATGTTCTTTTAAAAAAATTCATTTCAGAAGACAGAAAAGAAATATCTAAATTTCAATTACAAGTTACGAATCTAGGAATTGTACTTATTACGTATAATGATATTTTTAATTTTTACATTGTTTGCTGTATAAAGAATGCGAGTTTTATTCATTTCTGTATAGGTTGTTTCAATCTTCCCATTGATGTTTAGGACTGCAACTGATCAGTCTCTTATTGACATATGTGCACCTTGTGCGAATTGCCCCGATGGCTTTTGAAGCAAACGGTATTGGGTTTGAGTTCTGGAGAGAATATCAACTCTGAAATGCAGGTAAATCTACCTGACGAGTCCCGAATGGGGCGAAACACGAGTTCTGGATTTCATTGTTAGCTACCATCATCTCTGCTCATAATACTTGTGACTTAAGGCAATATCGAGGCATTCCTCACAGTATGCACGTATGCCAATAAGAGACTGATCAATTGCAGTCCTAAACATCAATTAGGAGATTCAAACAACCAATGTAAAAATGAATCAATTGTCTAGTTTTTCTAATTTTCAGTAGTTGTCAAGCTGACATAAAACCATGATGAAACTTAATTTCTAATCATTAGTTACTAAAAAAAATATTTTAAAAGAAAAAAAGCCATACGTGAATGGATCAACAGACAAATCAAATGATAATTTCAACTATTATAAAATAATCACGTTTCTGAATCAGTTCCATTCATTGTTTATTTTCAAATTTAATTTTTAGAATAAGTGACAAAACTAAAAAGAAAAAATCAGGGAATCTACAAGAACCATATAACTTCCAGTATTATATATATCCATTTGAGTCTGTTCTGTACATGTATAATTATCTAAATTCCTATGCAATGATTACGTCATTTATGTGATGGGGTGGAGATTTCATTCCCTTAATCATGTTCATTATTTTCATTTGACATCAGTAACAAAATGATTAAAAAACAATAATAATAATAATCCAACTTGTGAATTTATAAGGTTCGTCTATGATAATGACGACGATAATGATTATACGTGACATTTTTTGAACTGATAATTTGGTAACTAATTTGTTTACAAAAAAAAAACTAGAAAACTATTGAAATCAGTTAACTATGCTCATAGATCAATTTGTAAACAATGACTTCTTTATAACATAGTAATTTAATCGGTTAATTTTATTTGCTCATGTATATTTATGTTTGTTAAGCTTAATTAAAACAGTAGAATAAATATGAAGCAACAAATTTGAGTATCATTTCATGGTTTATGAATTACTGATATCTTGGAGGAATAAAAGTAAGTTATGTCGAAATTGTAACAGAGTTGAACAGTGTTGGTATATGATTGAGATCATGAATTGATGAATGTTAGACCACCATTAGAAACCTGGAAGCACTGAATAGCCGATTCGTCCTAGTATAGGCCTACTCAGAAGTGTACGTCCACGATCCCTCATAAAGGAATTGAACCCAGGACCTTAACCTTTAGACCACCGAACCGGAGGTCCTGGGTTCTATTCCACAGTATGCACATATGCCAATAAGAGACTGATCAATTGCAGTTCCAAAAATCAATGAGAAGATTCAGACAAATAATACAAAGTGAATTCTAATTTCAGGGTTGTTTATAGAAATAATAATATTGAAGAAAACAGATCTTTACAATTAATTCAATCAATTGTTTCAATTAGAACAATGAATACTCCAAAGATGATAGAAGGTTAAAATGATTGCTGAATTCTCATGTTCAATAAAATGTTACAAAGAGAAACAACAAACATGAATCCAATTAAATACATGTTAGGAAGGAGTTATCAAGTAACTAAGTAAGTCAACTATATTTGTTGGTACTAATAATACAACTTTATGATACTGTAAATTGTGTTTATACATTAAATTAATCTCAAGTGATCCTCAGTTTAAAGTCTGAAAAAATCTAACTACTATTTAGTGTACATTGAATACAAAATAAGTACACTTGCAAATAAAGATATTAAAGTCATCCTCGTTGAACAAGACAGTGGCTATCTGAATTTAATAGCTCAGTAGATCACCCATTGAGTGTTTGAAGTGAAAGGTGCTGGATTGGAGTCCGAGTTTAAACATGAACACTGGAATATAGGTACTTCTAAATGAAGAGTACTAAATAAAATGAAACATACTTCCTGAATTCCTTTACTAATAACTATCCAACTTTAACTAAAAAAATATTTTTGATCTAATGGCAATATCGAAGCAATATATTCTGGATGCATTTTTACTGAAGGTGAATGACCAATTACAGTCCATAACACCAACGAAAGGATGATTTAAAAACTTACAAATGAAATAAAATTAAGAACAACAATATTTACAAAATACAATGAATTGATTGTGTGTCGTATTTTTCCACTTGAGCTGCAAAGAAACTAGTAGTTTTAGTTATTTTGAAAAATGGACATAATTTTTAATTAAAGGACTGAACTGCCCAACAACAATGAGTAATTTCTTGGAATATAAATAAAGTTGTCTGTACCCTCCAGTATTATTGTTCTCCCATTGTCCTTTTTTTGTGGGGGGGGGTTGAGAAGAACATGAAGCGATATATAAACTGAAGAGGTTGACCTCTGAGGACCTACTGTGATGTTTCGAATGACAGAAATGAAGGTGGAATAAACATATCGCCACAAGTTGAAAGGATTTCGAAGGAAACTAGAGTAGTATGCTTTAAATTCTGTAAAACAAGTTCTGAGCATCAGTACACATATTTGCTGGATGTAACAATGCCGCAAATCATTTCTTAATACAGATGTACATATGAATGATGTTAAAAGGGACTAATGTAAATAAATACACTATGAACAAATTAAACGAAAAGAGCTATAAACTGAATTTTGATTTACTATCTTGAGAACAATTTATTCTCTAAGACTGGGACATTGAAACTGTCTCGTTTTAATAGTAAGATAAAACATGGAAGTAAATAAAGCTTACTAATGTGATATAGCTTTACAGAATAATGAGACTGCACAAATTATCTAACCTCCGGCAACATTCATTCACTTTACTTAATAATGTGTTCTTTACCTACAATCTACTACATTTACAAGCAGAATAAGGATACACTGTTTTGTAGGTTTGATATAAGTATTACATGAATTCAACGGAGCTAGCGTTCTGTTAGTGTATTCAAAAAATGCTTATCTATAGTGTGTTTATATATCAGGACTGTAATCAGAAAACATGAAATTGATTGTTAGACAAGAAATCGATTAAAATTATCAAACGACAATTTTATTTCAGAGAATGTATAGCCAAAACTGAAAAGCACGACAACTCCAAATCCTTTATTCTGAACTCAAAGGGTGAAAGATAAGTTCATTCTTAAGTTAATAACTTGTTTTAAAAAATATTTCATCTTGACAATATTACTTACTTACGCCTGTTACTCCCAATGAAGCATAGACCACCGACCAGCTTTCTCCAACCCATTTAGTTTGTCATGGGCCTTCTTTTGTAGCTCTATCCAGTTTTTGTTCATTCTTCTCATGTCTGTCTCTATTTCTCGGCATAATGTGTTCTTTGGTCTTTCTCTTCTCCTTTGGCCTTCACGATTCCATGTAAGGGCTTGTCTTGTGACGCGATCGGGTGATTTCCTCAATATGTGCCCAATCCACTTCCAGCGCTTCCTCCTCCGCTGGAATCTGGTTTGCTGTCTCCCACTGTAATTTGTTGCTGATAAAGTCTGGCCAACGGATCTGAAGCCCGGGTAAAGGAGGAGGGTTGGGCATGGGGTTAGCGACCCCATCCCGTAGAAAACAAACTCTAAAAAAACGCTGACCAGAAAATCGACAATATTCCCTTATCGAAATGTCATTTCCCGAAAAGGTTTATATAAAACGTTTAACTACTCAAAGTTTAGTTCAGTAGTTTAAATTTATAGCTATTTTTATTTGACATTTTATCATTGCAAATTTTAGAAGTGACTTCTAAAACAAGTTTTTCTTCAGAGACAGGAGCTAAAACCACGAATTTAGCTTAACAAATTAATTTATTAAATCATCAGGTGCTTTGATTAGGTTAGTCAAAATGGTTGTTGTTATTGATATGATTAACTTATCAGGATGTTAACTCAGACTATGAATTTGAGATTCTTAAGTGCATGGATTATTAAAATTTACGCTATTTTTTAGAATCGAATCCCCCAAAAACAAGAGATGACGATCAACCAATGCCTATGCTCCATTAAGAGTAACAGGCGTAAGTAATTTACTTAACAGAACCGGGAAATGATGATTCCAATCACTTGTAAGTGGAGTAACTGGAGGAGAAGCACCAAAGAAAGCAAGAAAAGAGTTGGGGAGAATAATATATTTGATTAGAGGCAGAAGTGAACAAACATGAAATTATCAACCTCATCGTATAAAAGGGGGAGGTATCTCGCATGGGCTCTACTAAGATATGCCCACAGTGGTTGATTGAATGTTCTCAGCTACTTGTGTTCTTTAAAACTATTGAGGTTAATATAAATATCGAAAAACGATGAATGCATTTATTCTGAGGGTTTGTTTACCGCTACAGAATGTTAGTGGGTCTGTCAGATAGAAACCTAAACATTAAACCTCTAGGTGAGTAAGCCATGACAAGTTCTTCTATTAAAGAAACTGCTTTTATGATTATTATGACTGAAACATTAATCTGTATCAATTAATATATGCACCAATCCGAACCCGGATCTATAGTTTTCTATGTTGAGTGCACTAATTCGTCTTTGGGCTAATTTCCTACGTCTTGACCAATAACACTGTGACTACCATGACTAACATTCAGCTGATATTGAGATATCTTAATTCCTACTGGTCTATTCTTAGTATTGAGTTCGAACAAGGGAGCAGAACAACCGAGCTTCTGTTACTCTATATTTCAAGCACTCATAGATTTATGTACATAAATTACCGAACGGTAACATAGTCCAAATTGCGAACCACAACCAAGCCATATATGAGAGAGACTTAAACGAAAAGTGAGTAATTATTTATCAATAATTAAATGCATAGCAGTAGTTAGAAAAAAGCTTTGGTGAGGCTATAGTTTATGGACGACTTTTGAGTGACGCTAAACTGACCTTGAAAGTGTTCACCTAATAACTAGGACTAAATGAGAGTTATAAACCAATGCGAAGAATTAGAATTATGATTTACAGTTGGTGGTTAAGGTTAGGAATTAGATTTAGTGTTCTCATCACAAACTAACATCCGTTGTTATGCGAAAACTCTACTTAGCCAAATGGATAAATGAATTTCGCGCCAAAATCCGAGACCTGTTGTCTTATACCTGAATGGTACGTCCATGAAATATAGTCTCGCCAGAGCTTTCAGGTTTCACTCCGTTTTAACAACAATATTTAAATTTTCAAAATTATTATTACAACAAAACCACAACCTTTCTTAACTGAAAGTGAATCGTATATCTTGAAGTGAATGTGTACATGAAAAACAAATGTTATCAGAAGAGAATCCGAGAAAAAGGAAGTTATCATAAAAGTATCGAACTATGAGGGAAAAAATAAATAGCATTTTCAAGATGAAATCTGGAGAAAAAATGTTTAGTCACATTCAATAAACTAAAAGTTGAAATAAGTACTACAGTTTGTAAAAAATGAAACATTTAAGGTTAACAATGATCCATTTGTTTAATATTGTTTATTACAATGCAAGATTGTTGACATTTGATACTGATTACATCTACTTTGTCAGTTAGATTATTTTGAGATTATCAAAACCTTGGAATTACAAGTTACCCATATTGACAAACAAGTGTAGCGATAGCAGCTTTAACTTCCAAAATGGTCATAAATTTGTTTATGTGGAATACGATTGACTACTGTTGCAATGTACTAACGATTGCTTCACCAAGAAGTATACTTATTAAGTCAAAATTCGGTCAACCTTTCTGTGACACGATACTGCACAAGAAAAAAATACAGAGTTTGATTGGCCCAAACCAGGGTTACAAGTGACACTCCATATAAGATCTCGACCTGCTTGTGTTTAACACTTCCGCGAAATATTACTGTTTATTATTGATCCTTATCAATCTGTAGAACAGGTATCGTTTGAAAAATCAAGTTCTACTCAATTGATTAGACTAACCAGTTTTACTAGCAGACCACTGTTAATCATAAACAGATTTTGATAGTGAGACAATAGGTACTATGAAATTGGACAATTTCGGTAGTGTAAAAATGAGTTAGATGCTTTTCATCTAGTTAAACAGTAAGTTAATATTGCACAAGAGCAATTGAGGAAATATACACAGCTACTCAATAATTAAGTATAAGTCAATGGACTTGTACATACTTTGTGAGAGAACCAATGGCGATATTGTCTGTGAAATTAAAATGGAATGGAGCAGGTTTGAAACCCGTGATTCAATGGTTGGAAGTTAATTTCCTATGTCTTCAAACCAACGTTTCGAACGTCAAATTGTTAGGTAAAATGAAGGTTATTCTCTCCATTGTTAACTATAGGAAACTAGTTGACACTCAGTAGATATTCAGCTAACAGATTTCAATTCATAAATCGTTTTAATTATTTCACAAAGAAATTACAATGTATTTTAATATAAGTGAATTTGAAACTGATAAACAGAACAAATAAAATGATGAACAACTGTCTACTTAAATAAATAGTTATGAGTAGTTAATACAACTGTATGAAAAAACACGCAACTGGAAATTCCATATTAATAAATATTAAACAAAACGACAGAAAACTAAAATCTATTCGAATGTCAGCGTTAAATACTTCAGAAAAAATACGGTAGTATGGTAGTCATATACTCCACCTCTGTCATTAGTCAAACGACAAGTTTGTAACATATTTATCATACTATATTACAACCATGATGTTTTGATCGTCGTGAAGAAAACAACTGTATGAAAAAAATCAAAGTTAAGAAATACAAATGAAATAGTAATGCAACAATTAATGAGAGCAGATCAAGTTAGGTGACGAATGAATGAAAAAAAGAAGCAACAATACATCATGAGAAGGAATAAATAAAAGTAGACAGACGGTTAATTGTTCATTAAACAATATAATAAGCTCCCTATGAAGGGATACACAAATATCTATGATTGATTAAAAGCTAAATTCTATCAGTGCGTTTAAAAATAAATGCATAAGAGAGAAAAAAATGCGAATAAGATATAGATATATATCACAGTATATTGTGTAATGAATTCCTTTGGAATTTGAACATGCGCTCAAAATTGAAATTGCACAATGCATTATGTAAAAATGCAATTTGTGGAGATCAGAGTTGTAGTCAAATGTTTAATGACTAGGAAATAAAATAAAAACTTATTGATAAAGCACACATACACAATAACATTGAAGGATAGTAATTTTTACAATGGATACGTATATTTAAGCATTTTTCAGATTTACGTATTAATATCACAAAGCACAGTCTATCAGATAGATAGGCTAGTAAGTTAATGATAAATTTGGAGAGAGATCACAGACTTACTGGTAAATTTAATTATGAGCTATAATACCTTTAAACAAGAGTTATTATCATTTTTTTGAGGGTAAGACAAAGTAAAAAGATATTTTTTAAATGCAAATTTTACTGAAAGTATCATTTCAAATTGTCTTCTTTACAAATATGACTCTGTGAACCAAGTGTAAAATGACGGATAAATATTACGATGGAAAAAAGACAAGACATAAAAATCAAAAACATATACAAGATAGAATAATGAAAAAGCATTTTCTTGTTTATTCAAAATAAGCAGGATAGAACTATTGTAACAGTCCACCACCAGCCCAGGCGTGGAAGATTTGGTTACTATTCAATTCCAGTAAAATTAACTGTTGCAGTGACTTGAGTACCAACGCCGGGACCACTTGACAAAGCAGAAGTATTCGAATTGATCCCGCTACTACGTTGCTGTTTTTTCGACTTTTTCTTATCACCACGAAATAATTCACGATAAACATCAGATCGTAGGAAACGACAATAAGAATCAGATTTCATTAAATGAAAAATGTGTTCTTCAGCTGCTTCAAAGCAATAACGATTTGGTGTTGTATTAGACTCATCATCTATTTGACGTCTTACTAGATCAGCAATTCTACTGTCAATATTTATTGGTTCTACTGCATTTGGAGCTAAATACTGCTGATATATATTCATAATGGATTGACGAACTTCACGCAGTGGAGCACCTTTAAGTACCTATAAATAAATAGATTATAACAAATTAGACAACAATTTACTTTTTTTACCTGGATTATAACAAAAAATATGTCTTAGATACCACAACAAACAGACATAGGACTCAATTATATAGAGTGAAGTAGATGAATTGGTGATCGATAAGCCTGAACTATATTGATGAAGCAACCGGGATCGAAAAAACACTTCAAAGTCAACCCCTGATATATCAACCTAGAACGACCGTTAACTATATAAAAGCGTCTAACAATACAACTGAAGTATGCATAATACTGAGATTCAAAACGAAAATTTACCTAATGAACGGTTTATGATTGTAAATGGGTTTCAAACTCGTGAGGTATCTGTGGCGATTAATGCGTCTGTACGTCCGCAAAGAAAAATAGCTTTTGCAATAATCACATTGACATTAATTACAACATATGATAGGGTAAATGACGGTCGGTAATTGTGTCTGAAGTTAGTAATGACCATCAACAACCCAAACAGGGACTAAAAGGACACAAATATGGAAACTATTGCGTTTAAACAAAGATTTAAGAGATACACAAAGGCAAGAAGTTATTGTTACAAGAGTTGAGAGAATATAATTACAGCAATAGACACAGTAAATGTTATTAGTTTATGTAAATACCTTAGAACATTACACAAAGATAAACATAAATTGCACCATACATTCAGAAATTATCAGGAATGAAACTGGTTATTAAATAGTAACACATAGTATAAACCAATAAAAATATAAGTCAAATGAGGAGAGAATTTAGAGATTCTAAGTGAACCTAACAATGACATTTGTTGAACCATAATCATTACTGTATATTAGAGTAAAGCCTGATGAGGATCTAATCGAAAACAATATTGTTCGCTTATATATGTTGTTCTAGAACCATAATTAAGTCAGAATGTTAACCAGGAACTGTACAATGATAAGCTTTCGTGAATGAAACAGTGTTAGCTATTCAAAAGGCGTTGAATTAGTGAAGGAAACGTCCACTTGTGAATGAGGGGATGAAATGACAGCACATGTGTGCATAAAAACACGAGATAAAGTTATATCTTATCTTAATATTTATTAAACTTAAGATCTTAGTTAACAAATAATGTTTGATGTTTAGGTTAGGGTGGAGAGTTTTATCTAGATTAAGGATCAAGATTGAGTTAAAATTAGAGCTAGGATTCGAGTTAGAGCTGGGATTAGAGTCAGATTTAGGACTAGGACTGGTGATTAGGGTATCTCCGAATCATAACCTTTAGTCATGATCTTTGCACCAAAATCTAACGGTTAAGAGCTTGTAGCAAACCTATACAAAGTAGCTAATAATACAAAACAACAATATATTTTTGGTATTATAATATAATCTATTCATCTACACTTATTCTTTTCTGATTAGTCAAAATGGGTCGTTCGACAGTATAGTTTAACTTTACCTTGGTGACCTAAAACTGAAGAGTAGTATGATACAATAAAACTTTAGAAGTGGTTCTTGATAATGCTTAGCTTAAAAAACGAACAAAATACTGACGGGTCTATTCATTTATTAAGTGAAATTTCCCCATCTATGCGAAAACCATTTTCTCAATAATAACCGATATTTAAGTAAATGTAAACTGTGAAGGAAAAAGTTGATTAAGTGAATGGTTGATGATAGGCATTATGTGGGACAGTGTTAATGTGTTTCATGTGGAATTTCCTTTGAATACAAAACACTTTTTTCCGTAACTAGTTGTATCACACACAAAAATATTTTATTATTTGATCTTAATATTTTGTTCAGTATATTTTACTTCGTTTCGCGTAGACGACATCCAGGTAGATTAGTCGGGAAGTTCTTTCGGAATCATGAATAATGCTATTGTGAACTATAATAAATCCTTAAAAACTAGACAAAAGTAAACTGAAAAAATTCCTTGAAGTTATCATTTTGAAATTTTCAAACCATGTCGGCAAAATGGAATTCCTAAAATCGGTATCTTCAGCGTTTGATTTTTAAGGACACTTCAAAATTTTCTATAGATACATATGCATTTCACATTGTATCATAGTCAGTCGGATTTACAATAAACTTTTCCAATTTTTTTAATCTCCTCTCCTAATTTTCGATAACTGGGTTAGCTAGTTCGGAAATGCATCATTCCCCGAAAATCCAACACGAACCAAACAAAGGAGAATTTCACGATGATCGATATTTGAAGATGAATGAATTCACCAGTCTCTACCAATAGATTATCGACTTCAAGAGTATTTCAAGTATTCACAAGTATTGATAATATATTTTGATATTAATTAGACATGAAGTTGAGAATAAGCTTTTCATCTTGTTTGGTACTTATTAAGTTGATCTTGATGTCTGCAATGAGAATTAAGTCTGATACTCAATTTTATCTTTGTCAGAAAAGGTAATATCTGTTGTGAATTGGGTAGATTAGTGGATAACAGTCTAGTATTTTTGATTTTCAATAAAACCATTAGTATTAATGTAGGTATAAACACCTGAGAAGTCCCCAGGAAAACGAAACACCCATCTTAGATTTTATCGCTATCCACTATCGTCAAAATGAATAAATAGTTACAATAACTAAAGATTTCTTTTTCAAGCGGCAGTTTCACTGGTTAAAGCACTCGACATCCAGTTATTTTAGTTGTATTTTGAATCCCATAATATACACTACTTCGGTTTGATCAACTGGATAATACCAGTGGTTCTTCTACAAGGAGCTCTACTTAAAATTAGGTACATAAAATTATACTTGGTAAGTAAATAACAAGTATGTAAATTTCTTACTTGACATGCCTGCCAAAATCTCAGATTTTCTGCTGAAAATTCTTTTTCTAACCAACGTTGAAATTCTTCTAAACCAACTGGATCTTTTAATAGTTCATGAATTGAAAAACTCCAACGTTTAATACGACGAATAGGTAAATATTTTGGACGTAAATCCGTATTCCAATAATCAGGATTGTCGGAAATCCAAGGGTTCAATGCACTAACAGGTTCTTGATTAGGATCATAGACTGAAAAAAGAATAATATTTAAAAAAATTAGTCGATTAAAGCTAACGTACGTGTATTTTGACTAGTTTACAAAAATAACCAGTATTCATCAAATGTTTTGATGTTCGAATCACACATTAATCACTTTATTCTGAATGGTTAAGTAATAAATGTTAATGTCATACATTTGACGATTCCCTTGATAAACTTGAACAAACTAAGCACAAACTACATACAGAATAAAATGAATTAAAGTCTATTTCAAGAATTCACGTCTACTGTAAACAGTTTTAAACTACAAGGAGTAATATAATTATACATCAACTTCGGTCTGATTTACAATAGTTTTAATTCTCTCGTTGTTGATAATATGAAATGAAATTGATCGATTGCCTTTGAAATAGGTGCATCTTGAGTTGACTACCTTGATAATGCTTTTGAGTAAAAAGTATTTACGTTAGCTAGTGGCTAGTAGACGAATTCAGGAAGCACGTTTCATTTTATTAAGGACGCTTCAGCTAGAAGTAGCTGGATCTGTGTGTTAATGTTCATTCTGGCACTCGAACCCAGCGCTTTCAGTTCAAACATCTAACACATAACCTACTGAGTTCAGTTAGCCACTAGCTCGAGGCCATCTTAGAAAAAAATTATTATTATGGAAAATGGGTTTTGGGATTCAAGACTATGTTTTTATTTATTTATTTGAACACATAAATATTGGTACAAAGAGGCATCAGATATATATGCGCCACACAAAAAATTGTCATTTCATTAAATTGTGTGAGGGCTATGATACTGCCCGGGTGCCCAGACCGAAACAGGTGGTTTTCTTAGGGGGCCACACCCCGAGCCTTTGACCTAAAGGTCTGATCCACAACGCAGTGGAGCATCGTGAGGAAATGCAGTCCCATGGTAGCCGGTGACCGACAATTGGTTCATACGCCATTTGTTCCCTCAGGATACTGGAGCTCATGTGCACCATTTGTTTGGAATCAGGGTTTTCCAACACCCCTAGGTGGATTTCCCGTGTCCACCAACCCGGTTAAAGCACCGGACATTCGCTTCGGAGTGAAAAAAATGACGAACAAAACACAATCCGATATATAATTGATGCTCAACGATATAATATGGTTGTGATAACTTTTTATGAATTATAATTATTAACGCGAGTTTTTCGAATGAATTGATATTAAAGGACAATGAAACTGGTCAAAGAATAAGTTTATCTACCAATAAAGACATGTTTATGTTACAAAATATTCAACATAAAAATAAACATGAATAGAAAGTACTTCAAACACGGTTAATTAAAAGATGCAAGTTTTGTAAGTCATTCACAAGTTAACAGAACTAACATCTGACTCTCAGACTTTATTTTAATCCTACGTATCAGTTATTTTAATCAATAAAACTATTAAAAACAGAGGTTTTGTTTAACATATAAAGCTAATGTGAGAAGTAGAATGGGTTTTAACTCAGTGACAAAAACGAATGATCCTTAAGTTATAAAAATACTAAATTTAATTCATTATGTGTTAAATATTAAAAAGTAATTTTCATAATGATTGGAAACTGAAAGTTTTTTTCTTTGTTGACAGTCATCTCAGCAGGGAGTTGCAACAACAAGCGCGATAACACTGATTCACTCGAAGTAACACTCAACTACATATCTGTTAGTAATATATTCATTTAATGAATCCATCTGAAAATTGATCTTTTGTAAGACTAAACTACTTCATACGAATGATTTGACCTATAAAGACCAATACCCTAAACCAAGTCTTCAACGGGCATGATGTTTTTTAAAATCAAAAATTACCGAGCGATCAGGAGGAAATCAATTAATTTATTAGACACTTATAACTTAATCATGATTTATTGAGTGGAAATTAGGAACACTATAAGGCATTGAGTTGAAGTTGTATTTTATGTGATAACTAAAGATACAACCCAACTGAATAAACAGAAGTAGGTGGAGCAAGACTCGAGAACCTACGATCTGGTAGTTGAGAGTCTAACGCCCTAACTACAAAGCAGATGATTCGTTAAAGAGCTTCAGAGACTATATGACAAGATAAAATAAATCCTACTTTTTATTATCTACAATCATATTAACGCTGATATTTAAAGAGAGAGAAGAAAATGATTAACTACCCGAATTAGGTGAACTAGCAGTAATTCCCCCCATATGTCCGGCTGATCCATGTCCACTAGAAATTTGACCAGCTGTCGAGAAATTATGTGCGCCATTTCCTGTTCCACTGTTGGTACGAGCTAATGACATTGAAGTCAATGATGTGATTCCATTAAATCCAGTAGCTGAAATACTACGAGTATGTTGGATTAATTTATCACCGGATGTACGTAATATAGATGTTGGCGTAGTGGCAGAATTAGAATTAGTATTCACATTTAAACTACCTAATGCCAATTGACTGGCAGAAGTTGTATTCGGTTGGTTTATTCCACTTGTGGATGGTGCAGAAAAACCAACAGATGTTGATGTAGATAAAAGCAAATCGAATTCAGAATACTGATCGGCAAAGTTCTGAAACAGTAAACAAGTGAATGACAAAAATAGTCACCTACCTGTTATGTATATAAGAGAAACGAAAGGAAATAAGAAAACAGAAAATGAATGTTCTTGGTCAAAAATTAATAGATTGATATCATATGTTTTGTTATCCTTTCTTTCTAGGACCAAGCATAATGGGAATACAATCAATTTCATCAATATAGTGTCAACCAACTTCCACATTACTCTCTGGATGCCATCTTATCACATGCTAACTGGTGTGATTGCACTTAATTTGACGATTCAGTGAATGTATTAAGTTGAGGAATCTGAAATGTAGAATAAACGCAACTCAGAAGTATTCCTCGACAGTCTTAAATTCTAGATTGAAAGTCATACTGTTTGGTTTGTGAGCGCTAGGGAGATTATAACCTGATCACCTAAACATCAGTGTGAACAGAATGGAATTGGAAACTGAAATCCAGTGATCAAAAGTTGAAAACCTACACTAATGAGATAAACTTTACACTTTAAAATCATATGACTGTAAGTGGACTAGCAAACTACGTGATATGAACATACTTGCAAACTCTCAGCAGCTTTAGATGATTTAATTTTTGTACGTGAACAAGTATGAAGTTTGTCTATCCTATCTCGTAGCGAAAGACCATCCAAAACGGAGAATAAAATAGATCCATCTAAAACATACAGGAAAAGATGGAAGATGGAAAGGGAAAAAAAAATCATTTTCCTTACTTTTTATGTGAATCAAAATGCAAAGAATTAAAAAAAATGATCAGGAAGAAATTTTCACTATCAGTCAACCTTCAGTGTTCTAGAAAAGTGTCATACTAAAGGTGCTAATTTTTAAGGATATGAACACTTTACTCTTGTAAAAATCAAAGTCAGACTAAAATACACCATATGGTTTCCACGAAAGAAAGTGTTATGTGGTGAAGATAAATATATAATTATATCTGGAAGCATAGATCACACATTCAAACATAACTCCACCTACTTTCGATAAAAAAGGATAAGTTGTGTAGTTACTAATTTACTTCAAAATAGAAGGCACATTTGGCGATTGACGAATTTTACAAATAATAAGGAAGGTTACCAGTAACAAGTGTTCTTGACCCTAACACTGGATGTAGTAGGTTTGAATCTCAGTAGAGTACCAGCTTCCTGAACATTGTAGATACAACTTGGTTACGAGTATCAACTAGTACAAAACATAAATCCAGGGTTATATCAGTTGTTTACAACTACCTGACACATTTGTAAGGTCTTTCTTCACTTTACTTACCACTATCATGTAGTACTGGAGACTTGGCTAACGTTATTTTCGAGATAACTTTGTTTAAACCAATGGAAAAAGTTACACCTACGAAAAAAGCTAGTGTAAAACAGTAACAGGAATATACAAAATGAAATATGTTTTCATGTATTTAGTGAGTAATTTGAATAAATAAATCAGCTATAAGTGACCAGTCATACAAAAAGGAAATCAAATTTATTCAACTCGATTTCCACTGGCGAGATAACTTTAAATTGAATGTTGAATATACTTCTTTCATCTATTTAAAGAGCAATAGTGATATATGTTGATATGACGTACCTGCATTAATATTGGACCAACTTCATACATATATATAGCTCCATATTTAAAATCGTAAGTTGAAATATTACTAATTTATAGACAAAACTTAGTGAGACATACTGAACCACTATGGTATTCTGTCTAAACAGTTATTTTCATTTTCTTTAAAGCTTATACAAAGGAATGTAAGTATACAATTTTTCCTATTCAGTTCAATTTTCAAACCAGGAATGAGAGAAATGGTCTGGAATCTAATATATATTGACATTTGAAGCACTAGTAAAAAAATTATGCACTACACTGATACTAAATTTGACTTAATCAGCAAAATTGTCGTATGGATAGAGGAAAATTGAATGAATAATTTACTACGTACAATACATAATTACTGAAAAAGTCAATAATTTACATAAAATTGTAACCTAAAAATACAAGTACACTAACCCGGGCCACTCGGAATAGGAAAATTTATAGGTCGAGATGTGGTTTTTTTAGGGCGTTTAGCACGACACAATTTACGCATATCAATATCCGTTGTATTAATACAGCCTGGTGGTGGCCTATGCAAATCCCAATAGGCTCGTTCTTGTGATTCAAGTACCAGTCTCTCCAATTTATCTCTTTTCTTATCTACTTTAGCTTCTGCTTCTGCCTATATAAAAAGTAGGAATTTTATATTACATACGTATATGAGTGATAGTCAAAAATTCAATGTATCATACAAGAGAGTATGAATTGAGTAACTCCATAAGTAGCTCTGTGCTTAGTACTGATTGCTGTAAGGAACTTTTGAGGGATCTGCACAAAATATCACGACAGATTGTTTTTATTTACAATAAGTAAATTACTGGTCAATAATAATCTTTTGAAAGCAAAATTATTAGATAAAGTCATTTTTTATTAGGTTACAACTTGATATTTTACAATATTCTATCTTTTCTACTTGATATCAAAGTATAGTTAATGCTCATCGGTATTGAACATTTAAGTTTTAACCAATGACTTACTATTGCCCAGGTATTTGAGTAGAATTATCAACACTTAACAGATCTGACAAACAGATAATGTAATCAGGAAACTAATTTCCATTGTATACGCTTTCTTTACAAAATTTAAACACCACAATTTTTTACTAGGAATACTAGCTCTTCATCTAACGAAATAACCTTAAGCAACTGATTGAAGCCTGTGAAATGTAAAAGTTAACAGATAATCTAGACATTCTGGCACTCGATCGACCAAGAATGTGATCCCATCTGCATACTTGAGCGAAAAACTCATAAATAGTAGCTTAACCTAAACGACGAAGTAAGAAATGTTTTAACGGTAACGTTGCATATTTTGCGAAATTGCATGTTTTTTTACAGATAACTTAAGGTGGTAAGTAAATTTTTGAACGAATAAGAAACTTGCCTCGAGGGTTCTATTTCTAGCCATTAAGTAGCAGGTTCAAACCTACCTTCTTTACGTGATTGAGCGATCGAGTACCAGCTTTAATCACTACACACTGAATCGAAATCAGTACACAAATCTGCGGTCAGTTATTGAGTTGCAAAGATTATTGCTAAAGAACTGAGTATTAATCGTAAAAATTAAAACATGCAATTATTGAGAGACCATTTAGAAAAGCCCCAAGGTTAATCTACTTGTATAAAAATGAACGCCCCCGAATGCCCTGGTATAGCCGAGGGTGGGGAGAGTTAGCTCTCTCGAAATGCTCTCACACGGTTACACGTACATAGCCACTGATAGAGAAGTCTTACTCACTGCCTTTTTGAGGTGAGGGTGTTGTTTACGAAACTGAAAGCACAAAAAGCGAATGTCTGGCACTTTAACCGGGTTGATGAGTACGGAGGGTTCACTTAAGGGAGTTGGAAAGCCCTGATTTCTAATCAGTGGTGTAGATGAGCCTCGGGATTCAAGGAAACAAATGGTATGTGAACCTATTGTTGGTCACCGGTTAACATGGGACTGCATCTCTTAACGTTGTCCCACTGCCTTGTGGATTATACCTTTAGATCGAGGGTTTGGGGTGTGGCCCTCTAAGAAAACCACCTGCTTCGGTTCAGGCAGTATTCCAGCCCTCACACAAATCGGATGACAAAGTGTGGCGCATATACAATTGATTCCTCCTTGTACCAATATTTATGTGTTTAAATAAATAGATAAAAATCTACCTGTATATAAATGAACTCCCACTTATGGCAGTATATATTTTGTAAACTAGCCAGGCGTTCAGCTTCAAATCCAGCCAGTTCCAATCTCTGTTTGTTTTGCATGGTGCGTTTACATAAATAAACGGCATAATCTGCAGTATCTGCCTCCATGCATCGACTTGGATAGAGAAAAGGAGTTTGAAATCGGTAGTACGTATGTCCATCATTTTTTACAGTCAGCACATGATCATCAATACAAAAAATGTAACCCATGGACGCAATACGACTAGCAATATGAACAGCTTCAGTAACATCACTAGCTCCAATGTGTTCCATCAACCAATGAACAATATCACTACCTAAGATAGGAAGTCAGAAACAGTAAGTCCTAATATGGTAGATTAGGGTAGTTTAATAGTTCAGTTAGCAATAAAAGTCTATTTTTAAAAAAATTGATAAAGTAACTTACCTGGAGACCACATAAACCGATACACTTAGAACTATTAAGTCAATGATAACCAGTGTTCTTAAAGCATATTCCACGCTCAAAAACACTGTCAAAGACAACTTTATTTAAGACTTTTTGAGGAGTAATTTGTCGCTACAAAACCTGATAACATAGTACGTGAACAACAAACTACTTCAAGAGAACATGCAAACAAAGAACGAGGTCTTCATGATTTGGTTGAGCATGCGTTTTCAAGGTAATTTGAAACTGCAATGATCATGATGATGATCAAAGACTGGATTCCATGCAAGCTTAGTTGAAAAACAAAGTGTGGGGTGGAATCTCTCGTCTATTTTCGCAATTATAATATATACTTTAAAGATTAAGCCAGGAATATCAAATCTTCAACCAATACCTATCAAACTATACTGCCTGAACCGTTGGCCAGAAACTTAAATGTCTTACAGGTTCTGAGAAAACAATACTGGATCTTCATAAACATACAAACAAGTCACCAAATCCATGTAAACGGAGGTTATTCAATTTAAATATTGCCATCCTTAAAATTAAGCCATACGGCTAGATCAGTGAGTAGCATATATTGAGGCTGATAGTTGATCCTTATGAATAAAGCACGTCAGTGGGGACATGAGCCAACACCTACAGACATCTCGAACATGTTATGGCTCGGTAATCATCTTCTACGACAATGAAAAGCTTGTGAAAAACTTTGCATTAGTTTTGTCACCCGATGACACCAATTACTGATTATATCACTCAGTGATGCTCAAATTGTACAGAACGATCAATATACTAACTGCCTCAAGATGGGACTGAGATTATCTCATTAAACTAAAGTACACAGGACGGCTGCTTGAAGATTTACATAAAATTAGGAGTTTCGTCAGCGCCCCTGCCCATAGAGAAAGGTTAGGTATGTGCTTAACTTTATGTATACAAGCTACTTTTTGAATCCATATTTATAGTACGACAGATCGCAATTGGGAACTAAAGACAGTTATTTATTACACTAAAGAAACTGCCAAAATGTTGGGAGATCCTATGATAAAATACACAAATCTTGTTTAAATAACGAGACTTATCAAACAGAAAGCTGCAACTAACCGGTAAATGTGCTAGGAATTATTGACATTAGACTTTTAACATTACGGACGGGGATTCCATCTTCTTCTGAGATCATCTGATCAACCAATGCTTCCAATTTTTTCCAAAGATAATCATTTGGAGATTGACGATCATCCAAATCTGAGGGCAATAGAACTAAAATGAAGTACAATACCTTCAGATGTCATCTTCTTTGACTGTGCACATCCGACATTTAATTGTTGGTTCCCTTCCCAGTGGAGATCACAAGGTTGAGTAACACTTGGTGGAACACAGCTTTTGTTCAGACACTTTACATCAATCTCGGAGTGAGACTCAGGCTTTTTTTCGGATAGTCCCGATGTTTTACATCCTTTAGGAAGGCTAGATGGGGAGTCACAGCCAGTATCAACAATTGGTGAGTATGGTGCCTCGTTTCCAGAACATTTTGAGACGCTTTGAACCATGTTTTGGACATGTCTACAAGCCATACTTTTCAACTGGTTGACCATACCAGGAGGTGGGAGGAGAAAGGATTAACCTCAAAGATATTTGAGGAACCCGCAGAGGTCATTGTAGAATCAGTTTCAGTTTCAGTTTGAAAAAGACAGACGGCTTGGCGGCCTATGTTAGTTTTGGTAGTTACTGTATCTCAGTTGATGCAACTTTATTTTGAAAGAGTCGACGGATGGAATCTCGACCACATGTTGAGGTAATGAACCCCACTCGTTGTTGATTCGACGGGGAAATCGATAGTCAGCTGACAAGTAATTTGTTCTGGGCTTGATAACTTTCTTACAGTGTCCTCGTAAAAAATCTGTTTTGGAAGAAAAAAGAGAGCATTTCAAGTGCGAATTTATTACCAAGTAATTTGAAAACTGTAATCAAGTCACCTCTACTTCTTTACGACAACAGGAATAGGTTTAGCCAGTCGAGCATCATACGGGAGATCCGTTATTCTGGGAATCAGCCTAGTTGCTGTTCTCTGAACCTTTCCTGAAATCCCACTGTCTTTTTTAAGCAGGGACTAGCCGCTTGTATGCAGAACTGAAGTTTAGGACGCACGAATACTGTATAAAAAGTCAAAAAGGTTTTAGCGTAAACATGAATAAAGACCATAAGTACTGACCATAAAGTTCTTAAACCTTTGACGGCTATTGCAATACAAACTCTGCTTGGTAAAATTAGTAATCTGTTTGTTCCTTGGTGCCAGTGTTTTGGTAGTAAAAGAGAGCTCATGGTTTCACACTTCTCTTTGGGAAAGTGAAGAGAAAAAAACAATCTAGATTAAGGGTAACGAATTAGCACATTGAGTAATACCCTTCCATTTCTACGAAGCCATTGCAAACATCGGATATTTTTCTAAAACGTTAACCGGAATTCATTATTACTGTAGCCATCGGTAATGAGTCATACATTTTGCTGATTTTAACCACGACAAGGTTTGCAGGAATTTGTGTGTGAGCACTTTCATATTCCGTCCTAAATAAATGTTCTATTGGGTGAAGCTTTCTTCGACAAAATGGGTTAAGGATCCACCATAGTGAAGGGGATTGTGGTAGATAAGAAAATTTAAGCACCGGTATTTCTTCCGACGTTTTTCAATCCAAAAGTTTTAATTTGAGAGCTTCTCTCTGAGCTGAGTAGAGTTGTTCTCCCGTGAAATCAATTAAATTTGGCTTGTCCCGTAATTCACCAATGATTGCAATCTACTTGAGTCTAAGGAGGGGGACTATGATGTGGGGGATAGCTAAAGTAGACCTATCATGTAATAAGTTTCTGTTACTATTCGCATTTTTCATCAGTTCTCACAATTTGTACAATTGTCATCATTGCCTGTAAAATCGTTCTCCAAACACAGCATGACCCAGTGGTTATCACTTTTAAATACACTGCTACACACATAAGCCATCCTAGTTTCTGAACATACCAATTGATTCATTCTTCTGAAGCCACATTTCGACCTTGTCACTTATTGGCTTACTACCCTGACTGTTTTTACATGATTGTATGTGTGTTAATTACTTATTCCATTCATTGTATGACTGTAACTTATTTTTAGTCTGACTATAAATGTTGAGTAACGCTTGGCTGAAATGAGTTGGTTCACATGCCTTCTCCGATTCGTTTCACTTCCTTCTATGTGTTTCTCTTATTGTCTTTTCCGATCAACGATTGCATGAAATGCACCTATTGAAAGGTTATTCCCGTATTTGAGTTATTTAATTTCGCTATTCACTAACGCGATTCAAATGGATAAAAGAAACAAGGATAGCCGACAAGTATGTTTCAATGACAATGAGCATACAGTCGAACTGGAGTCAGATACAGGGTCACTAAATTGACTTTATAGCTTACATCGAAGTCTCTTCGCGGCTAATACCTAGCGTGGATTACCGCTTCAAGCATCCAGGTGTGACGAACTCCACTCACAAGATTACTTGTCAGGCTAGTGTAGTGGAACGACTTGTTAAACATGCTACTGTCTACGACTGAGGAGAAAAGATCCTGTAGGTCAAAAATAGGGCGTGGGAACAACACTTCAGAGCCCTGAAGAAAAGTAAGAACAGGTAGTCAGGAACCAACTTGATTTGCAGCACACTGTACTGGATACAAATAAATGACTGAAGACAATGTGTACATACTGTATAAGCACTTCATGGTTTTGTTCAACTAGCATTTATTCCACCCAGTGCCTTGTTTTGCATAGATGCTGTGACTGCGTTCACTGCAGCGTGACTACAGCCACAACAAGTAGACAAAGAAAATGCTCAAAAGTCTTGTCGCCTGATCAGTCCCTATAAATCATTCTGTTGATTTGTGTACTTTTGTATTTCTGCGTTAAAGAACTACTACCGGCTACCTTGACGCAGATACCAGAAGCTATACAATTCGTTGTTTCCACCTAAAAATATTTGAAGCCAGAAGCGACCCTAATATTCAGCTTTCATCTGATTTATCAAGGTAAATATGATCAACATTTTCATAAAAACATATTTACCAAAGATTGTAAACGTTGTGAATAACATCAATCCTCTGAATTCCTGAGTATATTTAAAGTAATCGATTATGCTGTGGTATGTGCTATCTATATGGACATATATGAGTGGTATTTATCGGCAGTTGGATGTGGAATGCCTGCCAGCAAAAGACTGAGAAGTTTGAATTGAAGGGGACAAGTAGAGAATAGAGAGCAGTTACAATAACAACAGAATTGGAAAAATCATGAAGAATGCAAAGAACAACTGAAGGAAGATATGCAAATAATGTATTGAATGTATGGTTTTTATATTTTATGAAGGCACTTTGTAGTTTTGCACCAACCAATAAATCGGTGTTCTCCACCTGAGCTCATGTTCATCACAGCAGAATAATATAATTAGAACTGAAAAGTGTGTGGGTTAATGAGTGCCTAATTAAGTGCCTATGAGTGAAGACTGCAAGCTAGGTTTTCTATACATTGCCAAACAGCCTCAAAATGCCAAATAAACCAACCCAAGGTTCTGCATTCAATCAAACCTGTTTCCTAACATCCATTGGCCCTTGACAAGTATTTTTAATTCTCAGACCTGTCTTCAAAATTCAAATCTACCGATAAAATGTAGTTAAAATCAAATCATGGGTATTAGAAGAATTAAAATTATTGTATGAACTAGGAATTGCCGAAAAAGTGCAAATTAAGCCAAATAGAACTAGACGAGCAAAGACGAACTTATTATGCCTAGAATTCTGAGAATATGACTAATATCGTAACTTTACAATTAGCTACCAGTAGCACCTTCTATAATTGAAACCCTTTTGGCCAAGTAGAAATCAGAAGTCAGACGAGAAGAGGTAGGAAAGATATATTTGATACGTTACCAATATATGGAGAGGCGTTCGTTCTTAGCTGACTATTGAAACGTAGGAGCTGTGTCCCACGTCGAGTTGCAATGCGATCTGATACGGATGCATGACCGAAAGCCTTCAGTCAAACAAGTCAACTTAAACAACGTGGTCAGCATCCAATATCGAAAAATTTAGTAAGCTATTGATTTTGGGGAATTATTTACAGCTACAATTCGTAATCAATCGCAAATCAAGTACAAAATGATCACTAGTTCATGCGACCACCTCAAGGACCCAACGAGCTTCAAAAGGTGGTAGATACTACTGGGTTTGAAAACATAACCGTTCAAGCCCTTAAAGGAATAATCATACAATCGATAGGGACGATGTCGAGTATGATCGTATGCGAAAGAGAGCTTGAGACTAGTCAATGTATCGACTAAATATCAGTGAAGAAGCTTTTGAAGGAGTTCCTTAATGTGATATAGCGGGGACACAAAACAAAGCGAATTCCTCTATCAATTCGTCTATTTGAACTAAATTGGTCCGAATCTACTTCAATTGCTTCCAAGCTTTTATTTTGGCGAATTGCTGGTTGCGAAGGGCTTCTAAATATGAATAAAAATCGAGCGAAAGTCTTAAGGGTTCCAAATCCAGATGATTAATTCATATAATATATCTTTGCAAAATGCCGGTATTTTTCATCGCACTAAACTAGTCTCCTGGAGTCTAGGGGAAAAACTTATGATTGGGCGACGGTGAACCCAGAACAGTAGAATAACGTGAAGGATAAAAATCTTCATAAATTTGCCCCACCACAACATTAGGTAAGTTTTGGGATTTGAATGTCCATATGTAGTTCTGTAGATATGTCGGAACTACTTATTGTCTACCAAAAGCTCTCTTTCGTGCTGAAGATACCATGTTGATAACAGAGATGAATGTCATAATACAGACTTGAATGTAACTAATGGCTAAGCCGGTAAAAATATGCTCTCTTAGCACCGAAAAATGCAAGCTTAACAAAATGAACAGTACCAGCACAATAACCTCTCATATGTGGGGGACTTCAATACTGCATTTTTTACTGTAGAAAAGGACATGAGTGCTACTCTATCAAACTTAACTAGCTTTTCATATAGTCATCATTACTCTGTTTGTAGAAAATTCGGAGTTGAAGATGACCCAGGTATCTGGAGTTTGACAACCTTTTAACCATTAACACGTTCTACTATGGACCGTGCCCACCAAGTGAAATAAAATGTTAGAATCGAGGGGGTTCGAAGATATGTTTGATAGGCTGCCGATACATTGAGAATTGACTTATCTAGGTTGGCTAGTGATTGCAGGGGATGTTGAGCACGGCTTTTCCACTCGTAATCTTGTGCTGATACTTGACCGAGCACATTCATCAAGGTGAGTCCATTAAAACTAATGTGGTCAGCAAACCAATGTCAAACACTTACAGAGCTATTCATTTGCGGATTTATTTACCGCTTAAGAATATGCAACATTTAAATCAAAAGAAGGAAAAATCCACCCTTTAGGTTTTTGTTGCCTTATTGAATACGTAATTTGGTAATCTATGAGTATCAAGGAGATTGTGAGTTTGGGGAGCCAATTGTTGTACAGTAGTTTGTTACAAATACGTTTGATGTATCGGAAGTAGACTTCTCTTTCGGAATAAAAAGTAAGGGACTCCCGGACCTATCATAAAGTCCATCAAGGATTTCTTGGTAAATGGCGTTCAGAAATTAGCAGTAATTTCGAAATGCTCGTCTTGGAAACCGGTACTTTGTGAGATACCGCAAGACTCTGTTCTAGTTCCTTCACTGTTTATACTGAATGTAAACGAACTCTCAAGTGCAAATGAGTCCCTGATGCCACTTAACACTGATGATGTAAAAATTCAGTGAGAAATAACAGGTGACGTGGATGAATGTGCATTCCAGGCAGATAAAAATGCTCTCGTTCGGTGGTCTAAAAAATGACTGTTGTCTATCAACGGGGCTAAGTGTGTGTACATTCACATTGAGGGTACTAAGGTCATGATCTAAAGATTATGGCCTGCTACTGCGCAGTTACACCTAAGAAGTCTAGAACCTTATGGGCTTTAAGACGGACATTTACCAGCTGGAATACTAATATGTCCACTACCGTAAACACAACCTGAGCGAGATTCAAACTGAAAAACTGAGTTAAGGCTGAAAGCTCCTTTATAAAGATAACTCCAATATCATTGAAAAAGTACAGAGAGCAGCTACCCATGGAATTACAGAACTCCGGAGTTTGCTATACAAGGAGTGGCTTGAGAAGTTAGAACTCTTTAGTCTGCCCTACCACAGATTAACAAATGTTCTGATTTCGGACCTGAATTTTCTTCTTTTTCTTCCCAACGGGTCGAAACAACTCAGAGAATATAAAAACCAAGAGCGAAAAAAGTATCCATGGCCTATAGGTTTGCACACATCGAGTGTTCAATTCCTGGGACCGTTACTCGAATAGGTGGTGTCCGCCCATACAAGTGTTTCATTCAAGAAAAGACTAGACACTTTCAGAAGCTGACCGAAAAAGGGCCAACACAGGTCATAATCCTTCTGTCCTCAAAACACAAATATAATATGAAATCATACCGTTAAGCGTTATATTTGAATGTTGCGTTACTGGGTATTAGTGTTTTTTGTTAACGAGGTACTTCCCTCTGGCTATTCGTAAAATCAGGTCACAACGACCTACCTAATATCGAAATTTTTCGATTCCAGCTGATTGATCCAGACTTTTTTCATGCTGCACTTTATTTAATATTAGGAGGAAGCAACAATATTTTAATACCATAGGATTACATGAGTCTTACAATTGATATTTTGCCTAATTTATAAGAGATGAACACGTAGTACCATTTGTATTGTCTTAGTTATCAAGGTACATATGTTACGAAATTTTCATTGGAGACCACATAATTACCAGCCTATTGTCAGTTACAAGGATCATGGGCTAGTTAACCTATCATGTGATAACATGCAATAAAAAACACATCTAGGACAACATTCCTGTTTGAAAAATGTTCGACACTTAGGTATATCTACAACCTAGAAAAAATCTATTTTACTTGCTTGTTAAATCATTACAGTTCATTTGGTTTTGAATTTCATAAAGAAGTAAGAAATTGTAATTACTGATTGCGGTTTAAACTTACGAAACACTAACCTAAGAAAACCACAGAACAGAAGAGAATTAGGGCTAAGGAAAGATGAAAGGTTGGATGTATCGTTTTTTTTATGCAAATTTCAGGCTTGAATTGATGGGTCGCCAATGTCTATGCAGTACATAAATTTTTGATTCAACCTCCCTTCAATCTAATTCCTCTGCGTACAAAAGCAATACGTTAATGTTATGTAATTAAGGAATCATTTGTAAAAATCCTATTTGACAAAATTATTTCAATGAACAAAATGTTAGTAACTAACCGCTACAACCTAACATTATGTATTATTCGTAATCAAATGATTTCGAAACTAAACTGATTTATTATCGACATTTACATTGATGCATACACTTATGGAGATAAATATGAATGACTAAAATTTTAAATTAAGTAATATTCAAATACAATCGTTATTAATTTATTTTCATTATATAATTACAATGCAAATAATGATAAATATATGCTTTGTTGAGTGGATTCCGAATAACAACCCTAGTAATTTTCGTGATATGAAAGAAAGCTGTATAGGACTGGCTTCTGTTGGTCCTTTACGATTCCCTAGTCGGGGTCTTTGAGATGATGCAGCACAGTGGCTAGAGACTTTATCAGACATTACTCGAAATAAAAACCAGTGGCGATCCTGCTCTAACTTTGCTATTTCTACCTATTACTTAACGTCCTGAAACTCCAAATCCATTTGTTTTCTTATCAAGCCACAATAAAAATACACTTGATCGTTATATTTTAAACAAAGTACAGTTGTAGGAGTCTTTACTTATTGGAAAATCTTTTAACATAATTAATATTTCAAGGTCTATCAATATTTTTCATTAGTTCCTTTCATATTTGATATCACTTGTTATTTTCAGCACGTTATGTACTGTTGTTATTTGCAAAATAATCTTAATGGATGGAACTAAAACCATAAGGCGAAGAACTCATGACTATGAATTCAACGAAAATAGTCAGTTCAAACGAAAAGTGAGTACCTTTTTTCAAAGGAATACGTTTCCACTCTTTTTATTTACGTGCTTGCTTCTGTTTGTGGAATATTTTGCTCCTTAAGTGTAGTGAAAGAGTAATTGTTTCACCTGACACTTAAATAAGGTGAAACTCATTCACTAGCTACACATTTGTCTATCCGATTTCCAGTCTTTTTTAGTGGGGAGACTGGTGATAACACTCTACTTATCGAAGCACTGTACGAAAAGGGGCAAACGAACCAAGATGTGTCACTAGATTATGGAGTCATTAACTGTTAAACTGAGTTATTTCGGTAGATGTAGTGTCTGATTTTAGGTCCACCCAATAACTGATCACTATTTAGAGATATTAAGTGTTGTCGATGAGAGTCAGTTACAATGAAGCTAAAGGATTCACTCTTTATCTTCCTCTAGATCTTGAGTTCAACTGTTTCTTCATACACAACTTTTTATCCGGATTTCATGTACCATATTCTCAATATCTAATATTTTAACTGTCATTGTTACTACCATCGTTTTGACTCCTTTGTTATTCAGCTTGTTAATTTTGCTCTGGCAACTTGGACTAACGCACATTTGTACGAGGATCTAATTCGATCACTACTAACTAGCTGAAAGTGGAGTTCGAACTTTCGACCAACTGGTCGGTAACTAAATGTCTTAATCACGAAGCCACTGTTTCAAGTTAGACTCGGAAACGTACTTTAAAAATCTTTGTGGTTAGTTGTGATTTTCTGCCGATATTTACTAGGAACTGAACTATGTTGTACTCATCTTCACTACTTGTTAAACATATGTAATTAAAGTGAAGTCACTCATTCGTTTTCTTTTTTGATTTTTGCTTATCAGGTGCTTACACAATGTTGTACTTTACGTATCCATTATTTACGGTCAGACATTCTTGTTACTTTTTTCGTTTTTTAAATTACCGATTGACTCAAGATTGTTTGTATCGGCGCAAATAAATTTACTTTACCTTTTCCCAAAGATTCCACAAATTGTATTGTTTGGCACTTACTGTCTCTTGTTTTTTAGTTCTTCCTTTTCCTCCTGTTAACTACTGTTGGTGTTGTTGCTTTTTTGTCTTTGTTCGTTCTTGGTGTTCATGCTATATGATATTGCGGATTAGTAGGAAGTTTCATCAGATTCAACGTTGCTTTTGTTAGTTTTCCTATTCTTTTACTTTTTTACACCAAACTTTCATTCCAGCTGGTTTTTAGTTGCTATCGTTTGTCATATTAGTAGTTGATCTAGTCGTAAATGTTTTCTCAGGATAAATATTTTTAAATACAAGATTTATCCTATCATTTAAATTATCAAAGTATTTTTGTAAGTAACAATGTAGTGTGACAATTCAGGCTCATATTTTGCTTCTATTAATCGAATGACCTCCTTTTTTAAGACTTATTACATCTCGAAAATTGTAAAGTTTTACTTATTGCAGTAGATTATCAAGGGATTTCGGCAACGTCCGAACATACTGAGCTAAACGTACACATTTTCCCAAATTCTCATCACAGCTTATAGAGTAAGTAGAGATATTCACAATAAGGAATAGTGTAGTATAACAATTAGTTTTACCATCAGACTGCCTAAACTGAATTAGGTGAACTGAGACTCGAAGTTGTAGTCTAGTGGTTGAAAGTCGAATACATTGACCACTTATGAGATGTTGTAACTCAGGCTCTTTACATGTCATCAATAAGTCATAGGCTTGGCACCCTTCACATCTAACGAGCTTTATCATCAAATCATGAATAATAATATAAATATTCTGAAAATAATTACAGAAATCATGCCAGTTCACAGGCATTATCAGTTTGACATAGATAGTAACATTACATGTAGAAGACATAAGGGATATTAAATTGTTTGAAGGGTTCTAGTGTAAAAATTATTTAGGTAGTACTTTTTTTCATATATATTGCAGCAATGAAAGGCACCAGCCGAAAACGAATAATTCTTTTTAAGTAGACGTCTTATCTATGTATGAAGGTACATTTAAGGTCATTTCCAGTGCCATAACGGACTTAGTTTAATAGTCTAGAGCTAGAGAAAATAAAATGAAAACAGAATGCATGGGATAAAAAGAGCAATTATTACTATGATAGGTCAGTCAGCCAGTTTAAAGCATTTCCGGAGGAGAAGTAAGCATTGATGCAACGAACAAAGGATGGGAGTGATTTGATCCATATGAATAATCCATTGAAGTCTTATCCTCCTTGTTCTTTGAGATATATCCTAATGTTTACTTACTTGTTTATTACTCTCGTCATAACTTAGCGAAAAAAAGAAACTGAAAGGGATAATACAAACTCGGTGGAAATTCCAGGTGAATCTCATGTAATATTCACATCAAAAAATACTGGAAATAATCATTATTGGAGTCAAGATACTTCAAGACATAATACAAAATGTTTTGTAAGTTTTGTATTGATATATATTTCTAAAAATACAATTTCATAGTTTATATTTATTCTTTTGAAACACTTATTTCTAACGAGATTATTGGTATTTTACATTCGTCTATCACTTAGTTACTGATTTTATGGGAAACGTTATATATATCTCTCATTTTTTTAAAAATAATTTGGTACTTAATTCTGTCATCAATAACACTACAGATAAGGAGTAAAGTTATACATCTGACTGGATATTATGCTATCTCTTCTAAGTGACCAACGCTTTCGATTTGTACATATATATCATACGTTTGTAAATTCAAGAACTAATCACCTAATTGTTATTTGCTAGCGATTACTGAGTCTATTGTCCGAAACGTGAAATGTTTTGTGCTTAAGTGTTGCCTTATTTAATGGTAATTTATTAAAATAGTCATTAAACTAACTGGATAGTACTAGAATTCATTCAGTTGTGTTCATCTTCTCATCTTAACACTAAGGCAACATAGCTAGGAGAGAAATCATGTACAAAAACATAATGTATAATCGAAAAATTGAAGGAAAAGCATAATGTTACAAAAGTAAAAAATTTGGATTGTAAAAGTAGGTTTGTACTCGAATTCTCCGTCTCCGACCTTCTAATATGATGTGGATCCTATCATAAGTCAACAGCTCTTCATGAATTCTCCAATAATTGATTTTATTTCTTAATTTAAATATTCTTCCTCATTACATCTATCCCATCTAATATCAGTCGTTTAAGTGTACAGGTATCCTACTCAGTCACAGCTCACAATCTCTTTTACTAGTTTATCTGAACTTCTCCCTGGTGTGTTTGCAACAAGCCACTGATAAGGAGTCTTATACAAGGATGAAACGACTGTCCGATGCCCCCTGTTTTTCAATGGAACCCTGGCTAGGATTAATCTGTGACAAATGCAACTTGCAAATCAAACTAATCTCCATGAAACCCCTTCAATTAATTATTGATACGCCTTTGTATTTGATACTTGAGTAGCTACCCACCTTTTTGTCTAGTTGTGCTTAATATAAAGAAAAGACATACTAATCCACCTTCGTTAATAGTTCTCTAAATGGTGGCCAAATCAAAGGTAATCAGCAAAAAATAAAATATAACTGAAATTAAGTCATTTTTAGGCATTGATCTGTCCATTGTTGAATACCGTTTCCACTACTTCGTCTCCTAAACAAACCAAACAATAACTTAGTAGTTATTGCTGTTGAACTTCGACAATTACGGCTATCAGGTTCTAATTTTTTTTAGACTTACTTCAGCTTGGGTTGCTGGATAGTCCCGGTAACCATCTTCTCTCTCTCTATCTCTTACACACAAACGTTCTATTCAAAGCTAAACACATTAATCTGTATGAACCATAAATAATTCTATTATGTACACACACATTATCCATGTTTTCAAAATTCAGTAAAATTATTGCACAGTATTGATAGTGATTTGAATTGTTATTATTTGATTTCAAGTTATTTTTATTAGTACTAAAGTTCTCCTTTTTTTGTACATAGTTCCCAAATGGAACTTATGGTGAATCAAGACTTGTTGAGAATATACAGAATAATAATAATAGCAGTGGAAGACGTTTTTTGTCTAGTCCACAAAATGGACACAACAAAGAAAAGCTTCCTAATTTCACTATTGGACGTACAACAGCTTCTGAAATCCATTCTTCACTACCGTCGCTGCCTCCTAGCTTGAGAGAACCAGTTAGTTTTCTTTTTAAATTATTTTTTTAATGTTTGGTTTTGTTTCCTTTTGTGATCACGACAATCTATAATTTTTCTATATGGACATGCACTTCCGATGTGTTTTTTTACCATCAAGTAATTCCAAATTGTCTGTCAGTTGAAATGATATGGAATCCAGTTCTTCAGTTGTAATACTCATCTCAAAAGTCATTGGTTTCTGTACGTACTTCGAAAGCAAATAAAATTAAATTGTGTTGGGTAAATACTACGCAAACTAATGAAATATTTGTCAGCTTGTTAGTAACAAAGACTTGATACTATTGCTTATAAGGGTCTCTACCATCAGCTGTAAAATTTTATGGATTAAGGTGAATGTTTTTTCCAAATATTTTTAACTCTAAAATATCTGGTTAGGATTGTCAAGGCTATATCGCATGATGATATTTGAATAATTAATATATGCTAACTAAATCACTAATATGGTTAACTGAGCCAGCTACAGTATAAAGCTATCTAGCTATCACTTGTTGAATTCTATGGGAAATGGACCGGGTAATCACTAATTAAATATTTATTAAATTAGGAAGTGAATGTGCGCAAATTTTTAAGTGTAATCAATTCTGTGTTCAAGGTTTCTAATTATTTGTTTATTCTGTCTGTGACACGTACCTGCCGAACTCTATCTGTCCACAATGTAACTTATTACATGTACCAAGTACAGACTCGTGTGCTCCTGTAATTCGATATTATCTAGCTGTACTAACCAAAATTTATGAGACAGTGTTCGAATTTACGGTCCAGTGATAGAGGTGAAGGAATTCATTTACTGCTAAGCTAACGTAACCATTTTTCAACAGGTCTTAAGTAAGTAGTCATTGGACACATCTAGGAAATCTCTCTCTCTATTTTAACACTTCTAATGATTTCACTTGAACATTCTTAAATTATTACATAGTTGACATTGATACCAACCTTATTCATCAACAGTACCTCTTAGTTTATATCTCATATTTTGACAGCCGTATATGCAGAACTAAACTGGTTTTTTGTAAATTTGTTTAGTTATTTACTGTTTCAGTTTTGTTACTTTTCAATCATGGTCACCACCTTACCTCATTATACATATTCTGTTACTTGATAACATATTTATATGTAAGCCACACAAATCATCATAGAATTAGACATTATGCTGGTTGACATTGCTTTATAATTGTTCTTTTTAGCTACTATAATTACTGGTCATAAATTGACGCTTTATGACTATTACTATTATCATTATTATCTTTGGTAGTATTAATGACGTTACTGATAATATTGTTGTTATTCACCAAGCCAAAGGCTCTTATTTCTTTCGTTTTCTCACAGCATGCCGCATCGATTGATTATATATATATATATATATATATATATATATATATATATTTGTTGATCGTCCTTATTCCTTCTCCTTCTTCAAGCAAACAAACATTGTCTATTTCCATCTTCCGTATAAATAATAAATTTATTATATATACTGATCAATGTTGAATTACTTAAATTCCCCCTGTTTTTTTCTATACTTCACTGAAAATAATCAAATGGTCAAATATTCATGATAACCATTATTAACATTTAATTATTTAAATCTGATCTATTACCTGACGTGTTGGTGGAGTTAGGAGGAGATTAAATCTAAAAAGAAATACAATAATAATTATCCTGTTGCTTTTCAAAGAATAAATATTCAGCTAATCGACTAACTTTTAACTTAAACACACAAACCAATTTTTATTTCATGATTCTAATAATTTCTCCCATAGCATAATAACCTGATATGATGTCCTAGAGATTCTACTGTCAGCTTGAAGTACTTAGACAGTATAGTTCTAGTGAGTGGAAATGCCAGTAGAATTCACATTTTTCTCTGAACACATTAAATGATAATATGAAATTGTTTGGAATGTGTTTCAAACGCTTTAAATACTATGTTTATTTATACCAAACTTTTTTCCATTTAATGTGATTATAAAACATAATGCAGTTTAATGTATTAACCACTTCACTCATGTAGAAAGCCTTATTCACTTAGATGGGTTATTAACTGACGAAATCTCAGCACATTTACATAGGATCTGTCCAGTTTCCTTGTTATGTGTGACTCAAACTGCATATCGTTGGACAAATAAATAGTCTAGTTTTTTCTATAATATTTAGCGGTTGTAAAACATGGTAACTGGAGATAAATGACACTTACTGGTTTTAGATATCTGTAAATCATTGTTCTTCGTATATTGTAACGGTTAAGTAAACAATCCTTCACTTTTCTTCTTGGTTTGTCTATTGAAGTGTGACAATTTGTTCATTATTACGAATTCCTATACTGATTATTCTATAAGGTTAACTATAGAAAAAAACAAACGATTTTGTTTGTCTCTTGTTTTTTTTTACATCAGTACATTATGCAGTAGTCAATATGAATTTTCAATATCAAATAGTAGGTGAAAGTAATTATTATTATTCCAATTTATAAGACCAATGAATTGAGTGCATTCAACCAAATACTTTCATTATATGTGTTTACTTTTGCATTGAGTTAATGAATAATTTCGTGTGCCTGACATTTCAATGCTATACATTATAACTAAGTAAACACTTTTTGTCTAGTGTTATATTTGGCAACTTATCTTAATGTATTCGTTATGTGTCAAAGGGTGGATGCTGCTTTAAAGCGCTTCACGAAATTCTTTTATATCGTCAGCATTGTACTAATACACAACATCTAATGAAAGTATCATATTTAATGCTCTCTATTATACTTATGAAAGATGCAAATATCTGTAGGTAATACTTACTATTTTATATTTGCCATGAAAGGATTGTAAAAAATGACTCTATATGTAGATATATAAGATATTTACAACTGACACTACTGATTATTTAAGTTGAAATGCAATTCTTTACATTAAATAAGAAATAAAAATGTAGTCATTTGTTCTAGTTTAAAAATCGTCAGAGTTTTCTGTTAAGCTATCATCAGTAGTTGTAGTGCGGTGTATGCTACTCATGTCAGTCAGTCAGCTACAATATAGGACCAGGCACATATATGTATCATCCCAAGTTGCCAGGCCTCATTAGCAAAACAAGATGAACATCAAATTCATGCGAGTAGTTACTTCAATGGTAGTAATGTACAAAACAAAAAAGATTGCATATAAGGATATAGTACAGGAAGAATGAACTATTTCGTGGAAAGAAAGGTATAAAGTAACTTTATTCTCACAGTTCAAGGGAAGACGAATAGTGTATACACCTACGCCATCGTGATCGATTCTGCGCCATGTGACCCAGAGTCTCCAACCACTAGTTACGATAATCACACTGACCCCAACCAAGTAGTCTGTATCTACCAACCTGGCTCAAATCAGAAGTTAGTGAGTTTATGAAGCGATGCCACGTTTTGGTTCGGCTGTCTCTAACTTTCTTCTATCCGTCTCCAACATTAGTCAGCATTGTGTGCCGTTGTAATCGGTAGTTGAGCATGCATAATAAGTGGCCCAACCATCTCAGTCGATGTAGTTTTACAACCTCATCAACTAATTTACCATCATTCTCTAATACCCTGTGTCTAACCTCATTGTTATTTACCCGGTCATCCCAGTAGATGCGAACAATGTTTCTAAGACATCTGTGATCAAGTACTAGTAACTTACGTGTATCTTCTACTCTTAATGACCGCGTTTCGCAGCCTTACAGTAGAAAAATACGAACTATGCTGCTCACGTGTACAGATATATGTAGTATGTTACACCAGTCGGGACTGGAATGTCTGAGAGCAGACGATTGAGAAGATTAAAATGAAGGGAAGTTAAGGAAACTGAAAGCATTCAAGATAACAAGAACTAAAGGATAATTAAACTTTTAGGAGACAATTCAAAGAAGAAATGGAAATGATGCATTTGATGTATGATTTTCACATTTTGTTAAACCACTGTGTTATCATGGATTAATCAGTAAACTGGTCTTCCCCACTTGACTTCTTCGTAGGCAAAACACCATTCTAGATAAAATGATTGCATGTTTTAAAATTCTGATCCATAAAAACAAAACATCCTACTTTGTTGAATTGCCATGTTTGTTTTTTATCAAACATCAAGATTATTGAGTTGTAAAAATTAAATAAACTTGAAAGTCGCGTGAATATTCCTTCTCTTAGTTGTTATTATTATTATTGTTTTTTGTCAGGAACGCATGTTACATGTTCAACGTTGGATAAATAGTATCCCCCCTGATTTACCATCCTGGATACAAGTATCACATAATAAAATAATCCCGGTTACTAATCCACGTGAATCTTATGCTGAAATAGAAGATTCAATCATATCTGAAATTCCAGGTAAGTTTGATTAAACGCTTTAAAGTAGGCGGTGATTAGCCATACTTGATTATTGTTTCGTTGCGAATTGAACTTCTCAGTAGACTATTTGTCATTAGAGTTACAATATAACTTATAAAAAATCTTTATACAGTAAAGTGAATGAATGATACACATGTCAAACTAGATGAACTCAGTGAATATCGATAAAAAAAGGTGAAAACGGACTTGATCTGGAAAATGTGATGTATTAGCATTATACGTTTCGAAAAATCTGGTCACACATGCTAGTCAGGGCATTTTATATGAAAATTAATAAAGATCAATTACATGAAAGTTTAAACGAACATAAAGCGATAATCGTAGATAAAGGAGAGAAGAAACTAATATAATGTGGAAAGAATAGAAACAATAGGACCATGTGGTTTGCCTAAAATATACGGACCGGACCTATTTGTCCAACCAATTCTTGATATGTCTAGATCTCCTTACCACTCTCTAGTAAAGTTACTGGCTTACTTGGAACCCATAAGAAAACTTATTTTCATAGATTTCTTTCATGATACTTTTGAATCCATTGATTACATCAAAGAAGTCAATGTACATGATAAACTCATCCTTTTACTTGGTGTCGAATCACTATTCACTAATGTTCCACTCACAGACACCATCAGTTTAATCTGCAAATACATAAGTGATAATGAATTTAATATCGGACTACCGAAATCCTGTCTAAATAAATTACTCTTCCTATGCACTTGTAATGTACAATTTACACTGAACGACGTAATTCATAGGCAAAGGGATGGGATAACAAAGGGATCCTCTATTGGTCCATTACTAGCAGATTGTATTGTGAGCAGTCTGCAAAACAATCAACTTAAATTGGCCATTAAAAAATTTCACTTCTATGAAACGTATATGGATCATGTTTTTATCATTCATGACAGTAAATATGATTTGAATGATTTCCTGTAAACATTTAATAACTGCCACTCGGCAATAAATTTCACACAATGAGTTGGAAACAAACATAGTATTCACTTTCTTGGTGTCAAAATAACAACGAAACACGACGGAACTGTAAGAAGATCCATCCACAGGAAATCTTTATCGAATGGCCAGCTGTCAGTTTTTTAAAGCAGGATCCTTATTAGTTGGAATGGAAACTCAAGTATATCTCTTGCTACATGGTTATGAAGAATTTGTAGTCAAGAGGTTATAGATAACGGGACGAACCTCCTTACAAAAATACTCATCGTAAACGGGTATCCATCGATATTTGTTGATAAGAATATGCAACTTAAACCACTTAAAACACAAATAACCTATGAACATTAATTTTAAAGATGATATAACTGCGGACATCCTGAAAAGGAGAATTCCCGAATTTTTCAATATAACGTTATTCTCAGTAGCTTTGCGAATAGTGTTCTCCAGACGACAAATGTTCACCAATAATCTTAAGGATAAATTATTTAATCAATTCTATGTGCGTTTAATAATTTATCTGTTCATTTGGAGCCAGGTATATAGGTTATTCAATGCTTATTTTATCCAGAAGAATTCGAAAACATTACTCAACTTGGCTGAAAACAGGTGAAAATGGCTCAATAAGAAGCTCAACAATCAAACACCTTGTGAACACAGGTTATTCAGTCAAAACAGATTCTGTGCTCAAGATTATCTACAGGGTTAGTAGAAGGCTTCCAAAGGCAGTTATATCCCATCTTCTTAACATCCCCGAAGCACTGGCTATACACCTGGAAAAATCAGAATTGTGTCAAAAAGAAACTTCTGCAACTTCTACCGTGGTTTTACTTTCGTAATTTTCTCCTTTTTCATAATTCTCTTCTTTCACAACCATCTGTTTCCCTTCTGTCTTCGCTATAGACCTTTTACCCCCAAGTTTATTTGTGTGTTTCTCTGATCCGCCTGATTTTAGTTCATTTCAGTCCCAACACGTTATCTTATCAAACTGAGCCTTCCTTTCCGAGTTGTAATCCTTTATCTAAGTTCATAACGAATATTAAAGCTCTTAACAACAAAATTATTGTTAGTTTCCTTTATAAGAAGAAAATTTTTATGCCTCTGCTTATTCTCCCTCACTGTTACCATGTTTAGCAGAATTTTATTATCACCATCATTGTAATTATTATCATTTTGAAAAATAAACATATATTTGTGATTGTACAGATTTGAAAATGAATTTGCAGTAAAAGAACTCTTCGTCGAAACAGTCTTATTTTGTGAATAAGAAATTATCTCATTACCCTAGATCACAAAATGTCTTAGAAATCACCAGGGTGAATTCAAGGCTACGCTGAATTGTCTCTGTACACATAAAGGGGATTTGAATTTACGAATAACTAAGGCTTTTATAATATTAAGTATTCGTTCTTGACAATTTCTATACAATGTTTTGAAAGCTGTATTTATGTCAATTTCTATGCCCCGTTTCAATTATGTGCTCTACTATCGATAAACATGGTTTTCTACTTGTCACGTTTATTAAAGCACTTGACACTTACAGGTTTTGGAGCCATCTAAGCACATGTTCCATAACCTTTGATTGCATTGTTCGGTTACTCCCCCCTATGTATGTGTGTCCACACAAACATGTGAATTAGTAAACGCAGTGGGATTTGATGTAATCGTTTGCGCAATGTTTAAGTCAATTTGAAATCATGGGCTTAGTCCTTTCAATCACAACCAGTTGAGCAGTGTAACATGTTTTCTGTATGGTTGCTTTTAGTCTCCGTCTCAAAACTATTCGATTCGATTCTCCTCTAAACGATAATGAGATATAAAAGCTTTTCTTTGCAGCAGGTCTAAAAGAGGTATTAGTGTTGACTGATTTTTTTACCTATTTATAAACTTTAGCGGATAACCCATTGGTATTATTGTTTTAGCCATCAGTTTCGTGTCTTCCTCTAACTAACCTGTAGGGGGTATTCTTTGAGTCCTATTGAAGAGGCACTTCAGCAAGACTCGCTTGTGTTGTAATGGACAGAAACTGTATAAATTCAAATATTGACTAGTTTAGGCTGGCTTACCATAAACTGACAGTCTTATAGTTTCATCCTCCTTTCGACTCAAAAGTATGTTTAAAAAAGACAATCGATTATTACCTTCTTTCTCATGGGTTAGTACGATATCATTCTGTACGCTAAACTCAACGAATTAGCCAATAAGTTGGTAGTCATTTGTCGATGATTGTGAATGAAAGGATCTTGGTGTGATAAAAAATTATCAGAAGTCGAAAATACAAAGATACTGGTTTACTGATATTCATGTTTTTGTTTTAATTTCATTCAGGATAGTACACGCCCACTGTTGCGGCGGAGTCCAACTAAACAGGATGAATAAGTAGGCCCATGCTTTCATATTTCTCGATGAACTTATGACTGGTTTTATTTTGTGATGAAAATTACCTTCATATAGAGCAATAGATATTGGGTGGACAGCAAGAGCACTAGTTAATTATTTCATTAGCAGAATAGAGTTCTGACTATTTCATACTCTCTGATCAAGTCCAACTAGGAACGCATTGAATGATCTATTTCCAATTAATTAGGACTAGAATCGAAAAGATCTTCAAATCCCGCTATGTTAATTCTATATAAATTTCAGTGTCTTCATTACGATATCTTTGTTGTTTGGGTTTATTTAAATTAATATTATCATTTTTCAATACTTATTTCGATTTGAGACTAGTCGATTGAAATGTAGCATCTAAGGCATACACAACACACATCATTTGATTTATTGTCTTCTCGAATAAACTATCCTCCATTTTTAAATTTCTACAACTAATTCAGTCGATAATTCCATCATACATGATAAATGACTAAACAATTTATTATCAACTGTCTGAAATCTCTTCATGATATTTATCTTCACAGGCCGCATCTTATTAACAATGAATTAGATAGAGCTTACTTTTGTCTAATATTCTCATTGTTTAGTTCATACACGGGTAAATAAATAGAGATGACTTAGAACTTTATAGAACTTTGTATTTGGTCGTTTCTATACAGCATACCATCAATGTATTGAATGAATTTTAATATAAGGAATAAAAAAATTACAATACCAGCAATGTGGTAACGAACTATGAATAAAAGATTATGTTAAAAGGACTGATCATTGACTGTCGTTTCTCTTTATTCTAAACTATACATTTTAAACTCTGATAACTATCAATACAAGTTAAATCCTATTCTTTATGCTTGAATTTTACAATGTTTACTGATTTTAAATAATTCAAAACTAATCATCTGATTTATATTTCTAACAAAAAAGGCAATATGAAAATTCCCCAACAGTAGCTTAATAGTTTAGGAACTTTGACTCTCAATCAATAAAACACATGTTGTAACCCCGCTTAATCCAGGAGGCCAAGTAGAATCACTACTTCCCTCCTTGTGACTCAATGAAACCGTACGTGGTAAATATATTGCGTAATGTATCAATTTCAATTAGAAATTTTCATAGTCTGTAAAATTTCAATCTAGCAAAGTAATTAATATTCAACTTGAGTTTTAGCTTATCTCTATATTGTGTAATGTCAGATGGTTTATTGGTTTGATACATACTTTTTCACATTAGTAAACTACTTACGAGTGGTGACTCAGTGGTTCAGACTTCCGTTTCTCAGCCACTAAATCATAGGTTCGAATCCCTCTTGCTTTACTTTAGTTCAAAGAACCAGGTATTATAACTAACTCAGACATAAAATTTGATTCAAAACCAATTGCACGAATCTGTGCGCCTGGTAAATTGATTAATGAAATAAAATTTTAGATATTCAAAGAACAGGATGAAAAAGAGAGCTGATTTCTGTTCTCTCTTCCATAGGTATCAAATTTTCAGTCAAAAAACATTGGATCATAGTTATAACATTTTGTTCGGTATTTGTTCTTGTTTATTAATCATATGATAAACGTATGATAAAGCTCCCTTTATAACCTAATTTTTTGTATGTATACTTGTTTATTTATTATTTTCAAGATACATCAGATCTCGCTTCTAACCATGATATTTTAGACTGTAGTCCTGGTTGTAATTTAAACTCTGTCAATCAAAATATGAACTATTATTCTAAGCAACCAAATAATCATTCATCTAATCCTTCTGCACAAAAATCATTAACAAAAATTCCTGGCGTTTCAGTTGCTCCTCCTCTACAACCACCTCCGTTTCCACCGTTACCACCACCACCTCTGCCACCTCCGACACAGTCACAATCATCTCTTCCACTACAATTACATTCATCTATTCAACATGGGCATAGCAGTAATAATAATAATACTTTAGGTATAATTCCTTCAAAATTTTCTACTATACCAAGTGGTAGTACAGTTAACTCTCATCAAAATCTACTTACTCCTATACAATCAAATCAGGATATGAACTTATCGAATCATCCTCATCCATTTTGTATGAATAATGACCATAACCAATTGAATTATTCATCTAGAGATACATTATTAAGTCATCATATTGACTGTGAACCAAATCATACTGATAATAGTATTCATAATAGTCAAAGACATCCTATTGGTGATTCCATGAATTCAAGTGGACGATTATTCAATGATATGGAAATTCAAATGATAGTTAAGGTAAGTTAGCTTGTCGTTGTTATTTTCTTCTTTCACTGTTTTCAAATAGCTTCTGTTTTTCTTTTTCTTATTTGTCCTGTGGTTCTTATCAATGTTTTTTTCTCCCTTTCATACGAAACAGTCATTCTGACTATTATCCACAGTGTATTTGCTTGTTTTACTCTTCTCTTAAATGTTTCAGTTATACAATAATTACTTACCTAGGTGTGGTATCGCACTGTAGATTTTATTTTAATGTGGACACATTCTCTATTATCTATTTTTCGGTCATTACCAAGCAAACTCTTGGTAAACCTGTGTTGTCATGATTGGTGATGATGGTACAAGACGGAAACTTGAAAACTAAAAACACACTTAGTAATCACTAATAAAAAAATCTTAGTAAATCTTTGTATTTAAAAAGTCAGTTGTATATATGTGAGAGAAACAATGACTTCAGTGGTGGTGAAATTAACCAACCCGTTGTGAATATCGTGGATCGATTGAAGTTTGCACGCAAGAGAACAAAGACCGTGGGTTCAGTTTCGTAGATGCCCACCTCCGTGAAGTCCCATACTAGGACGATGGTCGTCTAACATTGATCAGTTCATAATTTCAATGAAACTCAACAATCTCCACAACCTTATACTAACTATTATGAATAGCCTATGAAATGAGCTAAAGGATATTTTATAAAGTGAGTGGTCATGAATGCTGAACTATTGATCAGGCCCGAATGCTGGATTGCTTGTTTTTAAATGTAGTTAATAATCGAATCATGAGATCAGAATAGAATGGATACTTTATCAGAAGTGGATCAGTATCTCAGTAGGGGTTAGAGCATTTGACTTTTAGCCATTAATTCACAGGTTTGAACCACAATTCATCCACTTTGATATGGGCAACTGAACAATCTTATTAACCCTCTCATTTAGTGTGTGAATCGACTCCCATTTTTCTTGTTGCTAACGTATGTGTATAAAATTATCTCGATGGCTGTTAGCAGTATATAAGGGTAGTTACCTATCGCTAGCTGTCGAAACTATGAGAAGATTCTATTTCTTCTTGAAGAGCTTGAAAAGGAAAATGGATTTGAGGATAATCTTGACTATCGCGGAGCGTGACCAAAATGTTTAGAGGACAACTGCTTAAGGGCGGGTACACGGGATTTTTGTAAGTAATTTTAGATATGTTAGATCTATATTATAGGGCCTTACCATTGGCAACGAAAATCTGTGGGGGAAAGTAAGATATAGCATTTTTTGGTCCTACGTTTTCTAACCCCTTACTGTTGTGAAAAGGCAGCATCGCTACAGATTTTGGGTGTCTGAGGGTATTATTCTTTGAAATTTAACCTTAACAGCTATTATTACTTACTTACTTACTCCTGTTACCCCTCATGGACGAGCATAAGCCGTACACCAGCTTTCTCCATCCAACCCTATCTTGGGCAATCCTTCCCAGTTGTTATTCATCCTTTTCATATCTGCTTCTGTTTCCCGGCGTAATGTGTTCTTTGACCTTCCGCTTTTCCACTTCCCTTCCGGATTCCAAGTTAGGGCTTGCCTCGTGCTGCAGTTTGGTGATTTCCTCAATGTATGTCATATCCACTTCCAAAGTCTTTTCCTAATTTCCTCTTCAGCTGGAAGCTGGTTTGTTCTCTCCCACAGTAGGCTGTTGCTGATCGTATCCAACCAGTAAATATTGAGTATTTTGCGTAAACAACTGTTTATAAATACTTGTACCTTCTTGACGACGGATGTAGTAGTTCTCCACGTTTCAGCTCCGTACAGTGGGACAGTCTTGACGTTCGTATTAAAGGTTCTCACTTTGATATTAGTTGACAGTTGTTTTGAGTTACATATGTTCTTCAATTGTAGAAATGCTGTCATTGCTTTGAAAATTCTCGCCTTTACATCTGCATCAGATCCTTCTTGTTCATCAATGATGCTTCCCAGGTACGTGAATGTTTCCACATCTCCCAGGGTTTCGCCACCAAGTGTGATTGGCTTGGCGTTCTCCGTGTTGTATTTGGGGATCTTGCTTTTTCCTTTGTGTATGTTGAGGTATACTAATGCACAGGCTTCTACTACACTGACTGTCTTGACCTGCATTTGTTCGTGTGTATGATATAGGAGGGCTGGGTCATCTGCGAAGTCCAAATCGTCTAATTGATTCTGAGATGTCCATTGTATTCTGTGCATCCCCTCAGATGTCGAGGTCTTCATAATCTAACCAATCACCAGGAGAAAGAGGAAGATGGAGAGTAAACAACCTTGTTTGATTCCGGTCCTTACTGTAAACTCATCTGTCAGCTGTCCTCCATGCACCACTTTGCACTGTAGTTCGTCGTGTGAATTCCGGGTAATGTTGACAATCTTCTCAGGAACTCCATAGTGTCGAAGAAGTTTCCATAATGTTCTCCAGTCCACACTGTCAAACGCCTTCTCATAGTCAGTGAAGTTGATATATAGCGACGAATTCCACTCAACTGATTGTTCCACAATGATTCTTAGTGTTGCAATTTGGTCTGTGCACGACCGATCCTTACGCAATCCAGCCTGTTAATCTACTGCATCTTTCATCCGGTTCAGCAACACTCTGTTGAAAACTTTTCCTGGTACTAACAACACTGTGATGCCTCTGTCACTCTCACATTTGCTCAGATCTCCTTTCTTTGGTATCTTGATGAAGTATCCTTCTTTCCAGTCTGTCTGTGGCACTTATTCTTCCTCACGAATCTTCCTGAATAGAATGTGAAGTGTACTTGCAGTTACTTGAATGTCTGACTTCAGTGTTTAAGCTGGTGTATTGTCATGTCCTGCCGCTTTCCCACTCTTGATTTGTCTGATAGCCATCTTGACTTTTTCGATCGTTGGTGGAGTGACAGATATAGGAAGGTCAGTGTGTGCTGCTTCGATGTTGGGTGGATTCAATGGGGCTGGTCTATTCAGCAGTTCCTCGAAGTATTCTGCCCATCTTTTCCTCTGTTCTTGAATCTCAGTGATTGTCTTTCCTTCTTTGTCCTTGACTGGTCTCTCTTGTTTACTATATCTCCCTGCCAGCTTCTTGGTTGTATCATATAGTTGTTTCATATTCCCTTCTCTTGCAGCTTTTTCCGCCATCGTTGCTAGTTCTCCTATGTATTTCTGCTTGTTGGCCTTACTGCTTTTCTTCACTTCCTTGTTTGCTTCTGCGTAGTCTGCTTGTGCTTTGACTTTCTCTGTTCGTGTTCGGCTGTTGTTAATTGCTAGTTTCTTGTTCTTCCTTTCTTGAATCTTGTTGAGGGTTCCCATAGAGATCCATTCCTTATGATGATGCTTCTTAGGACCAAGAACCTCCTGACACGTTGAAGTTAGTGCTTCTTTTATCCCTTTCCAGTTGTCCTCCAAAGTAGTTTCTTGTTCTTTCAGTAGACCCTGTAGAGCTTGAAACCTGTTGTTGAGAGTTATCTTGAATTCATGGAGTTTGTCAGTATCTCGAAGGAAGGCTGTATTGAACCTTTGTAATGCTGTTTGTCCAGTTGTCCAGTGTTTCTTTAGCTTCAGTTTCGTCTTGGCCACAACCAGGTAGATGGTGATCTGATGTTGTGTCAGCTCCTCTCCTGGTTCTCACATCTTTAATTGTCCTTCTGAATTTTTTGTCGATACAAATATGGTCTATCTGGTTCTCTGTGGTGTGGTGTGGTGAGATCCATGTAGCTTTATGTATGCGTTTGTGTGGGAATATTGTGCCGCCTATAACCAATTTGTTGAAAGCACATAGATTTGCAAATCTCCCCCCATTTTCATTTCTCTCTCCTAGTCCATGTCGTCTTATTATATCTTTATATCCTGTGTCGTCCACTCCGACTTTAGCATTTAGATCTCCCATCAGGATGGTGAGGTCCTTTCTTGAGCACTGAGCTATGATTGATTGAAGCCTCGAGTAGAACTGATTTTTATCGTCGTCGTTGCTATTATTGGTGGGTGTATAACATTGGATAACATTCATTGTGATCCCCTTCTTCTTTGTTTTGAATGATGTTTTGATAATTCTGGATCCATGAGATTCCCGTCCTACAAGTGCATTTCGTGCTTTTCTGGACAGCACTAGAGCAACTCCTCGATTGTGCGGAGCATTTTCCCCTTCGTGACCAGAGTACAGCAGCATCTCTCCCGTACCTAGCCTTTGCTGTCCAGCTGGGGTCCAATGGATTTCGCTGATTTCGAGAACTGCCAAGTTGTATCTTTTCATTCCTATTGCTGTTTGACTGGTCATTCCGGTCTCCCACATTGTTCAGACGTTGTATGTACCCATAAAAATTGTTGCTCTGGTTGTTAGAAGAGGCATCGGCCTCGTGTCTTCCGAAGGATCTTGGCTTTCATCATGAGGCGTCATAATTCTTCCTTCAACTCCCATGACAGAGTTTAAATGGTCAGAATTATTTTTCCTGATTAGCGTGTTTTTAGCGAGTTAGTTTTCTACGGGATGGAGTCGCTAACCCCATGCTCAACCCTCCTCCTTTATCCGAGCTTGGGGCCGGCAGTAACACTAGAGTGGCTACAGGAGGAGTTAACAGTCATTACACGCATTTAAAGTGTGAACTATGTCTGTAATAGGACTTGTACTAGGAACTACTGATACCATTAGTAATCCACACAATTATGCAGTCAGTTATGTGTGCATAAAAACATGTATATAAACGGAATTCAGTAATAGTCATTTTTTTAGCACATAACAAAAATGACATAATTTCTGGCACATACAGGCTTCGCTTATAAGTTCATAACATTGTTCATTTAATGTTTCATCCGGATTTATAATTAATTTTTCTTTACGATCTGTCTTCTTAAATGCTTTACTAGTCATAAGTCAATCTGTTTTACCTATATGCTTATCACTCAGTATATTCCCTGTTTAACTGGTAGACATGTTCATTTAGAGGTCACTAACTTGAACACTGCTTTAACACAGATTTAACTCCTATTAGTAGTATCAGTTAGACGAACACTGAAAAAAAGTTCAGCAAACTGGGAAAATGCATATTTTTTTATGAAGACTTACAGTGTTCTAATTAATTGACTGGAATATCTAACAATAATATTTTGACTTGGTATCTTGTAAGCTCATCATCCATGTGCTATGTTTGAAGAGATTACGATATCACCTAAATCCACGAACAGAACGAAGGATCAACGACACAACTAGAGGAAGAAGACCAGGTTCAGAAGAGGGAAAGTATACTCCACCAGCAGCCAGAAGCACGAACAACAACAAGCACACAACTCAAGAGTATATACACAGTATAAAAATGTTCTCGGGAACCGTCACAAAATACCATATTAAAATAGACAGCAAACTAATGATATTCAGGGTCCTTCCAAGTGGTAAATACAATCTGAGGATAAAAATGGGCGCTTTTGGCCCGAAAAACATGACGTTTATCTAGTGATTTCTGGGGTTCCAGCGTCTCTAACACCATAAACATAAGTGTCTAGTCAACACTGTAACAACTTGATTTTTTATTCGTCACTAGGCTATCTAAATCAATTCTTATATATTTTTATTTCATAGAAAAAAGACAAAAACAAACGAAAGACTTAATCGATCAAAACACAACTGTTTTGTAAAGCTGCAGATCAATTTACTTATTTATTCACACTCTACTTCTAATCAGCCGTAGTTCTATTCGTGTTCAAATTGCACTCTTCCAATATTATACAGTTTGTCCCTACGTAATTTGTTTTGCAAAGCCCGCATTTGCTTATCGATTTGAATTTATGTCCTATAATTTATACTTGTAATAAATGAGTATAACAGATTATTAATTTTTTAAAAATATGCCCAGATGATATTGTACATTAAGGCAATGAATAAGTTAGAAAACAAAACACTGCCAAAATACTTCGACTGAACTACATTATCTTCTTCATCCTCCTAAAAATTAGTAAGTATTAGGCAAAAATACAATAAATACATATGTGATCATGTAAGTTATTACACCCCTAACATCTTTGATTTTCTGTTGACTTGAACCTAAAATATAAAGAAAAGTATTCATTCGATGACTGTTCTTTATGAAGCATCTCTTCAAATCCGATTGAATAAACATTAAACAATACAACTCGATAACTGTTCAAATTTTTCATTGGCTTTACAAACTAGACCTATTTTAAGACAATGAATAAAACCCAATCGCCTAAAACAATGTTGTATAAGCACACAAAGAAGAGTATCATCAATTAGATGTACATATGGTGACATATGGTTAAGGTATTTTTCATGACGAAACCTTGGAGATGAAAAGGTATTAAGAAGCTATATTTCGTTCTTGTGAAAGCATCTCAATGATGCGTGTACCCATGAATAAGTGCAAGATCTTCGCGTTTTTATTTTTCGGCTAGCTCTATATACTGTAGCAACTATCCTACAACCAAATTCGATTAGGGTTAATTTTGGTTAAATCCTTTGACTAACTTACTTAACAGACAATGTCATTTGAATAGTAACAATTCGGATATTTATTTGTTCTGTTATGATCACTAGAGCACATAACAAACTCTAGCTAAAATGTTGATTGCTTAAATATCATTCAACAATTCATCCTCCACCCCAGATATGTATGCACTCAAATCCTATTATTAGCTTTTGCTTTGTCTTGCTGCGCCCTTATACAATGAGACTATACATTTGCCTATGTAACTGCTCGCATATACTTATTCGCCTATCCGCTTCAAATTCTCTCGATGTGCTTATAGCTTTGTGGCCTGTGCTATCCGATAATAAACTGTAGTTGCCACTTCTCTTCGCCTTCTGATTTCAAACGCCGTTGAGATTTATACTGTAACGGTTATCGAGGTGAATGATTAGTGAAGCAAAGCCACTATAATACCTTCAAGCCACTAAATAAGAAACTGATGTTCTATACTTTATTCCGTAATATTTGACGTCGCGTTATCACATGATACATTCTCACTCGATAATCCGACTGTTCGTCCAAGAACCAGATACAGAACAGAACAAGAGTTTATTCTGACAAAAATATAAAAGATAAAAGAGTATATCACAGCATAAATATGTGATATACCAGATATTTCAACCTACACTCACTAACCAACCATAGGTCACTTGTGATGGTCATATCACTTTTGATATCAATCACCATGAGACTTGATAATTTTCAGTCTACTCGTATGTAAGTGTTTGGATCCTCTGGTTATTGAAGACTAAAAAATTTGCAATATTCGGTAGTTCTCATTTTAATGTCAGTTTGTGTTGATAATTACTTTCAAATTGTCGGGGCTTTACAACATGGAATGCGACTAGAATATGAAACCCACGCATTTGAAAGCCTCAGCTCCACACGCATCTAACTTAATTTGCTTAGAAATAGATTCTCAGGATTGTTAGCTATTTTGTATATGTTCACTACTATATAAAATAACGAGGATATCTTTTGTGAGATGTCTTTGAACTACTCTTAAATGAGTAACCTATTTTTTATGATATCAAGTCATGTAGGCATCTGCAAACTAACCTGGTTGCGATCAGAGCAACTATCATAGCCAATAATTAGAGACGTTGGTTGAAGTGCTTCAGAATCGACCATAATAAAAGATGGATTCACTCTTTGTCTTTCGTTTTAAATTTATTTCATACTTTTCGACATCCTGTTCTTGACTCAAGTTTTCTATTATCTAAGCTTTGGAGTTTTACACATGTATATTAGTATAAATAGTTCTTCAAAAAAACCTATTTCATAATAATCTCAACTCCAGTTGCTTAGTTCCCTCTTTCTCTTCTGTATTTCGACTTTTTTTTTACCTTTTCTCAACAGTCTGTCAATACAACGTGTTCATCCACCCGTTTGTTTATTTATTTCGTACAGAAATAATTCATATATATATATATATATATATATAATTTGTACGGTTTAGTCGTAATTAGAACACTTTTCTCTAAGAAATGTATTATTTTTTAAGACCGGCTGAAATTATTCGCGGTCGATCGATATAATATGTTCAATAACTATGGTTATTCTCTAAAATACATACAGTAATCGAATACTATTGAAGTTTGTAAGGATTTTTTAAATTTCATAATTAACATCACAGACTGATCTCAGTTGAACAACTACTAAAGACCAGAATGTACTGGATAACTATTTCATCCTAGTATGTGACTCTTCAGTGGTGCGCATCCTTGACTCCATCAAAAGTTAACTATAAAGTAATTGAATAACTACTGTCACTATATTTATGTATAGAAAAAAGGAGTGATTGAGTGAGATGATACCTGTTTCCTCTTTTTTTATGCCCATAAATTTCATTGTCTGAGTGTAAGTATATCATTTTTATGGTAGATAAACTATTACAATTTTTAAAACTGAATGGAACAATGTAATTCAGTTTATTGACGAAGTATAGATTCATCTAGGGTTAGGTTTGAATTGTAATTTATGTACTATAACAATTATTAGTAGTTCTACTGTTAGACTGGTTGAACTAATAAGTTCGATTAAAGTAGATTTTCAGATGAACGACCAGGGAATCACTTTACTGTTCCCCTTCCATAATGATGCTTCTCTTGTTTCATGTATATCGTATATACCTTGGGTATGCGTAACTGTGTGTCACTTATACTATATCAATCTTAATGTGCACTTATTCGTTAGTTTGTCAACAGATTTTACTGTCTTGCTTAAACTTAATATAGCCAGCTTTAGGATGGTTCTCTCAATGGTTGTATATCAAGTATACGGTTCTAAAAATATTTGATTAATGCACGTTCAATCACTGTATTTTCAAACAGAAATTCTGCTTTTAAGAAAACACTTGTTATATTGAATTCTATACTCCAACCCCTATGAAATTTAGTCTACCTCTGCTAATAGGGTACGGTAACTTGAACCGATGTACATACTTACCAGGTTCTACTTTGTAACGGACTGACTATGAAACTTGATTCCCAAAGAAATAAAACTGTAGTAGTTTGACTCATACTTTTCTTCAGTGTTATGTAGTTGCATAGAACCCTCGAGTTTCTGGGAGTTTCTACGAAACAATGTCTTTAATCTAGGAATGTTGTTTTGAACTCAACCTACCTGATTCGAAAGAAAAAAACATGAATTTATTGACTACTAAGATAGTTACCGTCGATGCCGACTGTTAATAAACATACCTTGAGGATTTCTTGGGTTCTGTAAAGTTCTAAAGCGAAAATAGTTGTGATTTGCTGCAAAACATTCTACATCTATAATTTCTTCATGTTGGATTGACATGTATTATTATTTTGAAGTGGTTCTGTTGATAGGATCTCAGTGTTCCATGTTTATTTGTGCGCAAAAAATCGTTGTCCATATTTTAATGCTATTCGGAGTGTTTGTTTAAAAATAATTTGGTTATTTAAAATTTCGATCGTCATCCTTTTATGTAGTTGGACTTTATATCATTATGTTGTATTTCATACCAGTGTTTTTGATACAGTTCATACTAAATTTATGTTTACTATTTGGTCCAAATACATTAAAAAATGTAATACACAAATACACAGGTGGTTCTTTACGGGCTTTTTATAAATATAGTTTGTAGAAGGTTTGCGTCACATGGACTAAATAACGTTACTTGAAAATTTTTCTTGTCCTTCTGGTCCGTGATGTAACAGTATATACCCATACGGCTTCATAAAAAAAAATTAAAAATCCATTCAACAACTGAGTTGGGAATATGATATCCTATATTGTTAACTTTATTTACAGGTTGTACTCGTCATAAATTTGTCCGGATCGTGATACTATTCAAAGGCAAGAAGCACTGGACATGCTTCTTGGGACTCTATTATTGCTCACTCATGACTTTATCAGGGGTCAAACTTGGGATCTTCATGTTTTACTGTAGATCATCGTTGTTTTAGTGACTTCCTCCTTGCGTAGTCAACTCATTAATTTACAATTAGGTTGGAAATAGTAACTAACGAAAATCGTTTCAGTAACCGAGTACTAGAGTAGCTACCATAAAATGTGTAAATTCTGACTTCTATTCTAGTTTTTTTGTGCATGAGTCTGTACTATAAATGACTCGTGATCTATGACTAACAGCTATCTAATAATTATATTGATGATGGCAGTTCTCAATGAAAACTATTTTCAAAGTATTTGATCCAATGGCGATTTGTTTGTTTCTGTGTTATTTAAAAGAACTTGAGTATATTTTGTTCACTTGACTGAATGTTGAGTTATACCAAATCGTAATAATTAATCTCATAATTATTGACCTGTACATACACAAAGTTAGTGATTTAATGGAATAAAAAAATCGCGATTATTTGTCTTTCCTAACAATATGACAGAATATAAAATTATGTCGTTCGAATGGATGTAAGTGAAACACATCACAGTTGTATTTTACATTTGTTCATTTTAGTTTAATCTCAAGAGTGAGGTTCAACAATGATAACAATCAGTCATATGTAACTCAATCTTTACCATACATATAATAAGCACAATAAATGAACAGGGCTTGTAATTATCAAGATATATATTAGTATAATCTTGATATTGATAGGTTAATGCTATGAAACAATATGACCAAGTGTTTGCTTACGAAACCGAGTCATTGACTGAAACTCATTTATTTACTGATATCACTAAAAAAAGTCATCGATCCGACAAATAGGATGTTTGTATGTAGTAAAATAACTTGTACAAATTAATAGAAAAACAAATAATTAAATGTTATAAGGGATTGGAACTAATCAGAGTCATAGATTATTCACTCTCCAATGTATTAAAACCTGATTGTTACACCTAATTCTTACACATCATATCTTATTGGATTAAATCCTAATTTAATCGCCATTATTTTAGTTTAGCACAGGGTTCAAGTTAAAACAAAGTATTTTAAAAATTGAACATCTAAAGTACTTAAAAATTGAGTGTGAAAATCAATAAATTTCAGTTTTGTGGCTCAGCTTTTTTATTTTCTGGTATTTATTTAATCGGTGTCGAATTACGATAAGTGAAAACCTTTTTTTTCTACGTTTCTCTTTACCGACTCAATTATGTCGTTTTTTTAACACACATAGCATATTTGATGTGGATTAATGAAAAATTATGACTTATTGTCAACCTTTGAAATAGCATTTGTAGAAACAAAAAGAACATGCCTAGGTTATCATTTTTAACCAGTCATTATTGAAGGATTGCTTGTGCATGTTTTGGAACATCGAATGACCAGTATTGAGGTGAGCAAGAGTACCAGACAAAGATGATAGTAGATTGGTTGATGCGGTACTGATTCTTCACTGATTAACCTGACTGTGCACACCCAAACATCGCCTAATTAATCTTTATCACTACTTTTATTATTGTGACTCCTTTTGTATTCATTTTATAAATTCTGTTTCGTCCTAGTGATGGAGTTTGGCAACTTGGACTAGCGCATATTTATACTAGGCTTTATGCTGGTTATGAATGACTGATTGACTGAGTGTAAACACAAAGATAAATGACCTTTTCAGAAGTTCTCATTCTTGATATTCTAACTGAAGATTAGCCTATTTTCAGGTTTGCGACTTTTTCAGTCACTGAATCATTAATTCTAACTATGCTTTTGGTTGTTTGTTTTATTAGCATAGAAGATTCTTGTAGAGATTATTCAGTTTTGCACTTTACGCCACTAACTAACTGGCTTTTTAACCGAAAAACCACTGGAACCAGAGAGTAATTCCAAACACAGTCGTTTTGTTTTTATGTGTATGAGACACCTCAGCAGAGGGCTCATCCACAACGTTGTCAGATATCTAGGAATTATTAGAATTCTAAACTTCAAAGTGAGAACATAATCTTTAAAACCTTCGAATTGGCATCCACTAGTTCACATTTCAAACTTAAATCAA